CCCACCCCCCCCCACAATCCTCAACCCCTTGATCCGCCGCTTCGCAACCCCCTCCACAAGCGCCACCAAAATATAAGAGAAATTCCTCCGCATCCCCGCCTCATACGCCGAGAACCCATCATGTGGAAACACAATAACCTTCAACATTTTCAGGTGAGCCTTGGTAAGGGATTCGATCCAACGGCTCGGGAAGGAATCGATACAGTCGGCGATAGGTGAGAATTGTAATGCGAGTTGCGAGTCTGGGTCAGGAATCATTGCGATTTCGAAACTCGTTTCTCCGTAGAATTTTTTGGCGATGTGTGCGCGTAGCACGCGGTTGAGTTGGAGGGGGACGGGGGGAAGGTAGGATTTTTTTAGGAGGATGGTGGAGGGGAGTTGGGAGGTGGTGTAGATGTCGAAGATCATGTTTTGGAGTTCGGGAGCGAGACTCTGGATTTTGGAGTCGAGAGTTGGGGTGCTGGTTGCGCGCGTGAGTTTAGTGGGCGTAGCGTTGTTGTGTTTGGGAGGATTGTTGGCTGTGGAGGCGTGGTCGGGTGTAGTGGTGGATGCTATGATTGAGATGGCTGAGTGTGTTGTTTTAGAAGTCAATATTGAGATTGTGGAGTGTGTTGTTTTGGAAGTCGAGGTTGAGATGAGCATGTAACCTTGGCATCACATGCAAAAGAATGACGTCTCTTTCCCCCAATTAACTCTAGGACTCTGAGAATACCACTTACGTTGTGATTCTAACTGCTCCGCTTGTTCTATACCGACTACAAACTTTGTCTTACTTCCTACATATCGGAGGTTTGTAATACGAACAAACACGTTCTTTAAAGGTCTAGCATCCATTCGGTTGCACATCCATCGTATACCCTACCTGGCGAGACCGGTAAATCGTCCCATTCTACAGAAGATTCACCACACGTATATGGAGGAGTTTCGAACTTAATTGTTCTAGATATGGCCAGGTGTGCGTTATACAAGATTCGAGTGAACTTAGGGAGTATCGTCGTGGAAATCAGGACTACATTAGGGTCGGTGGGAAATTGTTCTCCTAGGCTTAATCCGCACAATAGTGGAAAACCATTTGTTTAAGTTCTAGTGCTAGACTCGAAGTTCTTGCTACTGCCTTGTCCATAGCATGAGCTTCTTCGTCTGCGAAGATTGTTTCGATTATTTCTAGACCATGTATGCAAGTTAAGTGGCGTTACTTTCTAATTGAGAGGATGGATGGATGGAATGACGAGCACGCTTTTTGCTGCATTTTCGGCKAATGGTGGATCCCGCAGTGGCTATATGGCTTTGCGTGTAATTGCAGGACAACGAAGGTTGGGAAAGAAGGTGGCTGTTTAAGACGCGAAGAACGTTAGCTCGAGTTCTGAGAAGCAAGGCTCCGGCACAGGTCTTGGCATCACATGCAAAAGACCGATACTACTTCCCTACGGCACTGTCCCTAAACCGGTGCATCAATGCAAATTCTTTTGGAGGGGGAAGAATTCCAAGCTCAAATCAGCTTCAAACCTTGGTTTAAGTTCTTAGAGGAGTGYATTTTCGGCCAATGCCACTGTACAAAATATAGTGCTCAAGGTCAAGAGTGTCAGTTTGGCTGGCTTCATCGCACGGCTTGATACCGTTGGTTGACAGAATCTATCTCATACCGTGGAAATCGATTTCCCTTGAAGCGCGGTTTGTCTCATTCCACTACCAGAACCATGCCATTCCATGGCTCAACAATCTACCTGTGGCCGAACACGGTAAACTCAAAGTGACAAATCCGTTACTCCAAACTACCTCATCTCTCCAATCCTCAACGACCATCAGACAACTCATAAACCACCTTCCTCATAACCTCATGCCCCAACCCCGCCGCAACACTCCTCCTACAGCTCTCCACAATCCACGCCAAATAATCATTATCAGTCAACCCCCTATTATTATTCCTCACCAACGTAACTTTGGTCAAAAACGCCAAATGACAAGAATCAATAGATCTCGTCCATCTGATAAACGGCTGAATCGAGTCCATGAGCCACTTGGCGTGGAAAGTGAATTCCCGACTGTAGTAAGATGCGGCGTACTTTTTGCGGGAGTTGGAGTCGATGCGGAGGAGTTTGAGGGAGAGGTGGATGATGGGGTTGAAGCGGACTGTGAGATTGATGGGTCCGGCGGGTGCTGTGAAAACTAGATTGTAGATCTCCTCGTACAGTTCTTGGGGGAGTCGGTTGAGGAAGAGGTGGAGAGCGGGGACTGAGAGGTTTTCGATCTTCTTCATGGTGGATGTGATTTGGTTGGTGGATTTGGGGAGGGTTGTGGTGGCTTTTGTATGATTGAAGGAGATGGACGACCGATATGTGTTTGTTTGTTTGCCGATGTTGAGTAAGTTCTATTGCTTTCTGCGATGGTTCAAATGAATCTTAGCAAACACGGAGCACTTTATGGAAGTAATAGAGAGTTGAAAGCTGGAGGGCATTAACAAAATGAGACAGATTCAAGCATGGGTCTCGTCTTTGACCCGTTAACTATGACATTCTACGTGAGACTTGCTCGATTAAGCGATTTTGAGGTACAGCATGTCTAGCCCCACGAGTGAGTCTCACGTTGAGCCACCTTCTGCTCATCTACACCCGCCACAAATGTCAATTTGTACCATATTCAATTAGTCACAGCTTGTATTCTCTGCATGCCAAAGTGTAACGTCATCTCAATCCCCGAAGCTCACGACTTTGAGCCTTCCCCAGCTCCCCCATCTCCCTGCTCATCCGGTTTCTCCGGTACAGCAGCCTCTCCCTTCGCATCCTCCTCCTTCGCAGCCTTCTGCTGTTGCAAAAATTCTCTCCGAGCTACGCAAGCTGGATTATCACCCGGAGCTGCCCTCGTGAGCATATTATGATCTGTGCAGACCGTCTTTTGGTAAGCGGCTGGGATACACTGTAGATTGTGGTCAGAAACAGCGCTGAGACAGTACACGTGATGAGATGAAAGATCTACCTTGAAGAGCTTCAAGGACCGATGGGAGGCATCGTAGGGTTTGCAAGTGCAGAGATGGTGTTCAGTGACGCACATTGTCTTGAGTATTTCTTTGTGCGATGACTGTTGCTTGAGACAGGAAAGGTAGGCAGTGAGGAGAGAGTGAGACTTTAATGTCTTACAGTCTTGAAGTTGGCTTTGTGCTGTGGCTGTTTGCTAACACTAGTTTGCGAATAGAGCAAGGGAGAAGACTCTCGTTTTGCTCTTGGAAGGGTAAAGATGAAAAGGGGTCGCTTAGACTTGTTCTTGTGCTAAGGACATAGTTTGCTATGTAGAAAACTACTTTGACATGGTCACTTTCCAAAATGAAGGAGAAGATTGAGGAGTACTTCACGGCTTCAATTTGGCAATCAGATGTGAATAGAGATATTTTACTATCAAAGTCTTTTGAGCGAGACCTTTTGACCCTTACATTCTTCAGATTGAACGTGCTCGTAGAGTAACAAGCGATACTTACTCGCATACAAAGACTACCCCACAATCATCAACCCGTCTATTCCAAGCATTCGAGTAAGTTTGAACAATCGTCAATAGAACCGGCGCAGCGTTCCACACTTCAATAGGCAATGTTGCAGCCAGCTCTAAGATTCGAGTATACGCCCATTGATACCCCCTCGTCGTGATGGAAAGGAGGTTCCTCGGGGGCAAGAAAATCCTCGTAGATTTCGATCTCGWTATCAAGTAGAATGATAAGGTCCGTCCACACCTCGAGCAAAGCGTTGGTCCTGGAACTTTTCAAGTGGGAACCTGCGAAGCCCATCACGATGATCTCGGAGTAGTCGTTCCATCTACGTCCAAGGATCCATCTCGATGATATTGTTGCRGTGGAGACGCTCTGGGATCGGAACCGCATACTCCTGCAGTTTGAGATGTTAAACAGCGAGGAATTCCGGGGTGAAAAAGGAGGCGAGGTCGTTGATATTGAGGATTTGACCGTAATAGCGGACAGGGTGGTTGATCTCCTTTGCCAGAGCGGAAACGAGCGTAGCTTTGACTCCCTCTTTCGAAGCATTCGAGACAAGAAGATGCTTTTAAGGAAAGCGACAACTTGATTAGTCGGTACATCCTCATCGAGGCAAGCGACGCTTGTGAAAAAGATGGACATGGCATTGACCGAGTTGTGAGATTATCCACGAAGAATTAATTTTGAGCGATTAGTCGGGTTGATATGATTTTGGATTTGAGCCTTCGCCAGGAAGAGTCCTGTTCGTTGAATCGCTCTGCTGGTTACTTTCGTAGAGAACAAATTCTTTCGAGTTCAGGCACAGCAAGCCCACTGAGATCGCCAAACGGATCAAACACTGCTGCATTTAGATGAATATTCATATAACTCATTAGTCTATCATTAAAAGTATTCTACAGTGAATCGCAACAGTGAGCATCGAGTATATCCATACCCACCGAGCTATTATTTGCCAAAGGGCATTATCCATCTCCAGGCTGTCCATCTCCTCCATTGTATGCCAATCATCTACTCCTTTGTATACACAGTATACGCAAAGTCATCCAGAAGAGTACCAGTCAACAAACCATTACTTGTCTCGAACTCCGCAGAAGTCATACCCTTTGCCCACTTCCCGAATTCAGCCAATTGGAAGTCAGGCTTCAGATCCAAAATCCCCTCGGGAGTGAATTTGAATTCCTCGCTTCCGATTTTCCGGGTTCCATCGTATCCAGTTACCGTCACCGTGCAGGTAGAAGGCACGCCGGCCGCGGTCTCGGCGGTGTTGATGGCACATCCAAAGTAGAAGGAGTGAAGATCGAAGATGGAATTGCTTTCGATTGGCGAGAGGATTGGGGCACCCTGGAGAAGAGATCCGTAGGCTCCGTAGGCTACGACGTTTGAAGGGGAATGAGGTTGAGGGCCTGTAAGTTTGCTGGGAGTGGCGCTGAAGAATGCTTTGTAGTTTAGGCCTCCGTATTTCTTGACGGGTGAGAGGGAGATGATTGATTGTGGCAGGTCGTCGAACTGGAGGATCTGTTAGGAGGTATGGAAATCTGGGGGGGAAAGGAACAGCTTACTTTGTCGATGTATGACTTGGCTTCGTAACCACTGTAGGGATCGTGATGACTGCAGCTGTGGTCGTCGCATGGAATATGTGCTGGRGAATATGATGGGTGTCCATAAGCTGGGCCCTCGGTTGGAGCTGCGACTACTGCCTGGCAGCAAGCGAGAGCAGCGACAAGTACTGATGAATGCATTTTTGATGGAGATTTTATRCGGAGGGTAGGAATGAGAGGTGGGTGAGTTGGGGTGATGAGAAGGGTAGTTTCATCCGACAGTCGAGGAACAAGTACTTATAGAAGGAAGACGCCAGTTGAATTACTTCAATAATTGTTTGTTATGCTGTCAATAAATTTCCTGAGTTCTCAGCGTGCGATCAAGCAGCCCAAAWCCGAAAGTATGGATTGCTAGCAACCCGAAATCGTTTTGAAGTATGTGGGGGAATATACTCCAGAGTAGTTTCCTAAAGGAGCAACTGTACCGCCCATCCACAGCATCTGTATGGCACAGGGGCCTTGGGTCATCGTTTGCCAAGGCAAGCCACGAGCGCGGTTACTTTCGCTGCAGCGTGCAAGCTTGTGCCAAAACGATTCCCGCCATGCATTGGCGTGTGCYCTGATACACGACTATATGCCCGCTATATAGACCATGGCGCTACTGAAATCCAAAGTCTGGCTATTCGTGGAACCACGAATTCGTGACAAGACCACACCCGTGTGTGCACGTTGGATATACGTTGACATGTTGCAGCGTCGACCGCCTGATGCCAAGAAACAAGCATGCTTCCGGCTTTGCCAATTGCGTTGWTGTCGGGGGTGATACCGCGAGAGGTCTACCGTTGAGAGATCTACAGCTCTGGTACCAAGATGCAGGCGGGCATGGACCCAAGTTGCTTGGCTCAAGCTCATGCTCCCTTTCTTTCCACCTCATCCCTATTGCCTCATCAATATACATCACGTTCTGAGCTTCGTTCCGGGTCCAGGGGGCATTTTCCCATTAGCACTTGCATTGGCCTCGAAGTTCGAAGAGCTGTAGCTTCCGACAAACTACAACAGTTTAATTGAAGACCGCATCAGCGGCTGGCGCATCTCATCTTGCTTGACCCGTCAGTCTGCCTTGAAAACAGGACAGCCTCGTTGGACGTTCATCGTTTGCCAGGCGATTCTATAGCCTTCTATTCGGTATCACGCATGTATGGTTATCTCACGAGTACGTTTGTTGTGTCGGTGAACCAAACGAGTTCGACCTGAGATATCATGCCATTCATACTACTGTTATCCCTGACCTTGGTAGCGTGTGGACTGCACTGGCTATACAGCCACTACACACCCAGCAACGCCCTGCTGTCACACATCCCAACCGTCAAATTCAAAGATAACGACGACCGAGAGCGCTACCTTCAACAAAACCAGTTCCGAGATCTTGTTCGGCAAGGATATCAAGACTACACCAAAAATGGACGGGCTTTCCAAGATCCGAAGCTCGTATGGGACATGGAGGGTAGTCATCCCACCGGATTGCATAGAGAGCAAATGAAAAACGTTCCAGGCCACACTCTGAGCTGGCGGAAGACCATGCACGATATCATGATGATGTCTCATAATACTGGCGCTCCAGATCGTGCTCAATGGTCCGGTCGAGCATTACGGGTGAATGTCACCAAAAGGCTAGACAGCCTTGTCGAGACGATGATTAAGAAAATCAACCAGGAGTTTGACGAAAAGCTCACCTCCAGTACAACCCAATGGCATACTGTGCCATGTATACATGATCTCTTCCGTCGATGTATCGCTGGAGTTGTCAATGAGGTCTTTCACGGGCCCGAACTCGCTTCGGATGCAGAATGGGTCGAGATGACCATGAATATGACTGCAAACGCTTGGAGTGCGGCTCTCGAGATTCGACAGTACCCAGCATGGATGAGGCTGTACTACACCTATATCYGTCCATTGGACAGCATTCGGCAGGTCAAGCACAATCGACAACTCGCTCGCCAGCGACTCATTCCGATATTCCGAGATCGATGCGACAGGCTTCGCAAGAACCAACAAGTCCCAGACGACGCGCTATCGTGGTTGATCGAGACTGGTGGTCCGTCAACGAGTGAATATGAGTTTGCTGATACCATGAGCCGCGTGATGATGGCTTCCATCCACACAACCGCAAATATGCTCACTTGGGTTTTGGCCAACCTTTTACATCGACCAGAATATATACCAGACATGCTCCTGGAAATGCGTGACTGCTTTCTAGACAAGGGAAGGCCGCTCCGAGCAAACGATATCTCGAAAGTATGCGCCGCTTGGATAGCTTCATCATGGAATCCGCGCGTTTTACGCCTCTCGGTATTCGTAAGTMAGCTGTTCTTCCATCTCCATAACGTTTGCTGAATCGTAGTGGCCGGACTGTATAGTCATGGTAGGCCGTCAAGTTACATCCCGTAAACCCTTCGCTTTCTCCACTGCCGATGGTATCATCCAAATCCCACCAGGAGTCAGCACATATGCTGCTGTAGAAGCCACTCTACAAGATCCAGACATCTACGAACATCCCAACGAATTCAATGGCAATCGTTCTTTTGAGACGCGGCAGAAATCCAGAAATTGCAGATCAACATTGGAAACTGGCGAATGCTACACAGGAGGCACTTTACTTTGGATATGGTGTACAGGCGTGTCCTGGGAGATGGTTCGGTAAGCAGGAGATGTTGTTGATGATGGCTAAACTTGTTATGGATTATGAAATGGTGCCATTCTTGCCAGGATCGGGGGAGGAAGAGACTGTTGGGTTTGGGCATTCTCCGGAAGCCCGATATCATGATACATCGATGCGGCCACCGAATGAGTTTGGTATGAAGGTTCGTCGGAAGAAGCAACCAGGGTTTCCTCAGATGTAGGACGGTATGCCGGATAAAAATATAAGACTCTAGGTCTACGAAACGGCATTACAATAACCAGCACTGTTGGACTGAGAACTTTCAAACAAGATTGAAGTCGGTTTCTCCTTCTTGGCTGATCTTGCGTCTGCTCACTTGACGACTCGACGTTGTACCGAACCAAAAAAATACATCTGGCGTACCCTGATTTCGAATGGCGGAAAGACTCAGTTGATATGCCGGAACGCCGATATTCCAGATTACAACTTCGACTTGGCAAACTTCTTCGCCAGCTCCTCATAATCCTCTACAGTCCTCAAAAACCTCTCATCTTGTCGCGGTGGTGTTGGAATCCTGCCATCACCATCTTCAACCCATGCTACCATCGTCCCTTCCTGCTGCCACCGCTTCATTTCAGCAACGATAAACCCACTAGCTGCTTCCGCAACCTCTCCCATATGCTCGTCAAGTGGCATAGTGTGCTGAGCCCCATTGATAACGACCTGCTTAACAGTACCCATTTTCTCACCACCACTACCTCCAATATCCGTACCAGTATTCTTAAGCCGCTGTTTAGCCATTTCAGGCGAAGAACTTGTCGTTGTAGAATCACCATCGATATACAAAACCCAAGGTCGTAAATTCGGTAGGCGGAAAAACATTTCTCGAGTCCAGGGAGAGTACAGCGGTGCATTCTCCGAAGCCGAAGGGTCGATGTCTGGAATTGTTTTGCGGTCTTTGGGCGGCAGTGATTCTAAACCCTGTAGACCTAAACCTTGGTCATTCAAACGAAAGATATGTGCAACTTCGAGATGTTTGCTCGTGGCTAGTCGCACGGCCCCTGGATTTTCAGCGCTGGGAGGCAGATCTTGTAGAGCGAATTGGAAGTATCTTGCTAGTGCGAATGGATTCCATTTTTTGAAATAAGGGGCTTTCCGCATTGATTTTTCGGCTTGTTCGCGGGATGTCCATTCTGTTTTTCTGCGTAGCATGAGGCGTGCGTGAGCTACGCCGTGTTTGCGTTCCATGGTGGGATAGATTGGAGGTTCTATTAAGATGAGAGAGTTGAATAGCGCGGGATGTAATGTGGAGAGGTAGGCGCTGTTAAGATTATTAGATCGGGTGCTGGAATAGATACTTTGATATGACTGTTCTCACAGTTGAGTTCCTCCGAGGGAATGGCCAAGACCTATCAAGGGACGGAGCATTTGTTCGGAGAATACATTGATAAGGTGTAAGAGGTCTCTGGAGTGATCCCACCAGGAAACTAGATGGGTTGGATGTCAGAATGGCGCCCCGAAGTAAAAATCGGTGGAGTTGTGATGCCTACGTGATGTTCCCAAATCACCAGCATTGAGAATTCCGCTCGATGCAGTCGTCACTTGATCAGCAATCCAAAAAGCTCTGATCTTAATGCCTTGCTTCTTGCATCGTTTGAAGATGTCGGCGAAGAATGCTTCATAGCACTCCTGTTGCTATCATCAGCATGCCACCACTACCATCTCAGCGCTGCAGAGACACCTCGGGGAACTACCTTCGGAAACCCAATGCCACTTGCGGCAATTATTGTCACAGCGTCGGAACCAAGATCCTCATGGTCGTTCGGGACGTACTGCTTGACGTGAAGCTTCAAAGGTTTGAATTCATCGCGGGAAGAGCACGGATAAGAACGAATGTGCGATGCATTAATGATATGCTCGTGGATATCAAAGCACTGAATCACACTTTCCATATTGTTGTTGTCGAGAGACTTTTGCAAATAATGAATGCAAAAGCGAAGGGAACGAAACCAAGAATCTCACATCGTTGGGCGGGCTTGTCTGCGGAGTCGTTGTACGCTTCCATGGATCGGAGGGGTCTTTTACGGAAATCTGGTACGCGGCGGCTGCAGGAACGTTCACCGCGCGAATTGAATCTTAATTAGTTGAATGGTTATCTGCATCTGCAAGCCACAGTGAGCTGTTGATAGCTATTTCAATTTTGGCCTAGGTGGACAGTTACACGAACAGTGCGGAAAATTTACGGACAAGATCTGATGTGAAGCACGACCGACGATTGACAACGCTTGAATTGGTAGAGAACCACATCAATTACTGTACCCTGCACGATCTCATCGGCCAAGGCTAGTTTTCAAAGCTAGACAACTGCTGTCCGACTGGAGTTTTGTTGTCTCGTACAACAATTCTAGAGGCATTGGAACACGACATCGGCATCCTGAGAAGACTATCAGCCATGGCAGAGAAGGAATTATCCAAGATCCCTTCATCGACTCCCTCGAAACCCCAAGATGGCGGCACTGCAGCGTGGCTGCAGGTTCTGGGCTCAGCTTTCGTCATGTTCAATATCTGGTATGCCTGACAGACCGACCACGTCTGTAAGTAGTGAGAACGCGCTGACGACCTACGCAGGGGCTTCGTCAACGCCTTTGGCACATTCGYATCATTCTATCAGTCCGACTTCCTCTTCGAACATACTCCTGCAGACATTTCATGGATCGGCAGTATAGACGGATTTCTTCTCATCTTCGTGGGCGTAATCAGCGGACCAATCTTCGACTATGGGTATTTCCGGACGATGCTCGTGGCAGGCTCAGTGCTGTTCGTGTTCGGTATCATGATGCTCAGTCTCGCAACTCGATACTATGAGATTCTCCTCGCGCAAGGAGTCTGCTTGGGATTGGCGAGTGGCATCCTTTATACACCTAGTCTTGCACTCGTAGCGTCGTCTTTTACCAAGAGACGAGGCCTCGCAATAGGTGTCTCAACGTCTGGTGGCAGCCTTGGTGAGCTTTGTGATCAATATTTTTAATTTTRATGAATCGTTCACTTCAGCTTACTACCTTCCAGGAGGGGTTGTGTATCCCATCATGTTCCGTCAACTCCTACCTCGCCTTGGTTTTGGAAGGACAACTCGAGTCATGGGATTCACCGCTCTGGGATGCTTCCTGGTGTCCTTTTGCATCATGCTACCAAAACATCCCAAGACACCCGGGAAGTCTCGCAGACTCATCGACACAAGCGCCTTCAAAGAGTTGCCTTTCGTCCTCTTCACCGCAGGCGGTTTCTTCTTCTTCCTCGCCTACTTCATTCCCTTCTTCTACATTACCTCATTCGCGGAGACTATACAAGGAATCGACGACCTCGCCTTCTACATCCTCGCGATAGTAAACGCTGGGAACTTTTTCGGCCGGATTGTCCCAGGATACATCGCAGACATAGTCGGTCCATTGCAAACTCTCATGTTTGCTGCTTTGGTACTGGCTGTGGGACTCTTGGCCTGGATAGCAGTCGACAGCGTGGCAGGTGTCATTGTCTGGGCGATATTCTTCGGCTTCTTCGCGGGAATATTAGTGTCTGTCCCCGCGGCTGTCCTTCCTCACCTCTGTCCTTCGCCGGACGTGATAGGGAGCCGACTTGGGATGGCCTGGACCGGTGCTGCAGTCGGTATCCTAGTTGGTAACCCCATCGCGGGAGCGCTCACCAATTCCCGCCTCCAGCACTTTTGGCAGGCTCAAGTTTTTGCGGGGGTCGTGATGCTTTTCGGCATCGTTTGCGATGTGATTCCGCTGAGATATATCGTTCGTCGCAATCGCGTTTTTGGGAAAGTAGCAGGTCAAATTGTGGTACATCGACGTAGTAGCAAGCATCCGGCGCTCTCTAACTCTTCGTCAAGCTGCAGAACATCTGAACCCGGACGGCGCTAGAATGGAGCCGGAATAGTGCCACGGCTCACGACATACCGGCAAATATGGCCTGATCTCGACACCGAGCATCTGCGTCGGGGAACAGGTTGAATAGGACGCTCACGCATGTGGATTTTGATTGTGGAGTAGCGGCAGAAGTGCTGTCAAACATTCGAGGTTCCTCGTTGATCACGATAGACTCTGCAATGAGCACAGAATATGGATGTGTTTGATCATTGCTGAGAAGGGCAAGCAAGAGTGGAGAGATGTCGCTTGTGTGACCTGTAGGGGAGCAACGYGAGCGTGAGAAAGTGCATGCGAGAATCCGGGAGAGGATTGGCTGTGTAGGGCAGAGCACTGAATTGGCGAAAGCTCAGACGCTTGATCTTTTGGAATCCTGTCGTGTCCTCTGCTGTTACAAGTCCGGCTTTGACCGATCGAAGGCCCTCTTGTCCCATCTGACGTTAAGCCTCTCCGAGGCCCTCCCTATCTCGACAACAGTACTTGCGTCTCAGAGTAGTGGTGATTGAAACAATGGTTGGTGGAGAGTGGGCAACATCTCTGCAGCGTCAAAGGCGCCATCATGATCATCGGTCGCCAGAGAGAATCGAATTGGTATGCGTTCACACAATGGACAGTGCTTTTGAATGAAGTGGAAGAAAACGAGGTGTAGTCGGTGGAAGCAGCCCTAGTCACTGAACTAAGAGCAAGTAGGCGACGGGAGCTCCGGCTTTCTTCATTCTCGGAACGGCCCGGAACCGTCCCGCTTCAGCTTAGCGGATTAGGTAAGGGACGTGTTATGCGCTCGTTATCGTAACAGCATCTTTAGCATCACTACTTTGATCTTTTAGTCAACTTACCTCGCTTGTCGCAACGCTGTAAGCGATTGCACCGGTAATGGTAGTGACGATTTTGGTGCTGAGTATGCCCTGTCTTCGATACGATGTCTGATGACCTTGGCCGGACTTCCATCTCGTGCGAAGACAGCCATTCGGGCCTGCTTGCAATAGACCCATCTTCACAATCTCTCCAGCGTAGAATACGACGTCGGAGAACATGGAGATGAYGAATGACAGCAACACGATCACTCTTTACTCCACTACCACACCAGGGACATCGACCCCTGCCGAGATATCTTCGCTGTGCCGCACGTAGAGCACCGTTACCTCGACGACTTCGATGACCAGCGGACGTGGGCTAATCTAGCTGAAAGTGCCCCCTCGCGAATTCTGAGATCAAGACTGCATTGCCGTCTTGAGGCATGACCAAGAAGACATCCCAGTTCCTTCAGCATCTATTCGAATGGTTGCATATACTGTGCGTAGCCTAATGGATTTCCTCCATGTCAGCGTGTTCATGGTCTGGCCATGATGCCCTTACCACCCGCTCAAAGGTCGCAGACGCAACTTGATGGGCTTTACAGGAGCTGCAGTAACGCCCAGTATCACCGCTGGCCTTGCATGATCAGCACACGTCAGCTCGAAGCTCCCGACCAGCGCCGCTATCAATGCCAATTGCTCCAGCCTCGCAAATCCTTGCCCGATACACGCTCTGGTGCCGTGGCTAAACATCGAGTACTCGAAATTCCCAATCGCACCATTTCTCCTCTTGTCCTCATCCACGCCCAACCACCGCTCTGGTGAAAACTCCTCGGGCCGATCGCAGAAGAGCTGGCTTGTGGCCCAGAAATTATCGACCAAGTTTGTCCCCCTGGGAATCACCTGACCGGCGATGAAAGTGTCCCGGATCGCTACTCTTTGCAAGCCAGCGACGGGTGAGCTCAGGCGCATCGCCTCGAGGGATACGGCACGTAGGAGTGGGATTGCTTCTAGTTCATCCCAGTTGATTTTGGCGTCGGAGGCGGCGGCGGTAGGCGATGGAAGCTGTGATCGAACTTGCTCGCGAAGCTGGCTCTGGACGTCTGGATGGCATGCGAGATGAAAGCACGTCCACATGGCCGCGGTAGCGGAAGTTTCGTGGCCGGCAGCGACAAAAGTAAGGAGGGTCTCGACAAGCTTCTCGTCTGTGAAGACGCCGCTACGCATCGCCACCGAGAGGAGGTCTTTGCGGTGTTCAAGCCCACTCTGTTTCCGCTCTTGAACGGCGTGCCGGGCGGCTTTTCGCATCTCTTGCTGGCCCTGTCGAATTTGCTTGGCTCGCTTAGTGGGCAGGGAGAGCGTCACGCTCAGCGGAAGCGTTGCCAAGAGCAGCATATCCAACAATGATGCCTTGTGAGGGTTTATCGCCGCACGATATTTCGAGACAAGCCTACTCTGAGGCTGGCTGACAGCGCAGAAATCCGTGCCCCAGGAAGCCACCCCGATGATGTCGAGAGCAGCATGAGATACCCAATTATGAATAATCACATCCTCATCCGGGTTGTTTTGGACATGCTCTCGGAGTACACGGATCAGCTCTGCAGACTTCTCCCACATCACCGGCGCCAGACTCCGGATTTGTTGCGTCGAAAATGCTGGGAGCAGTCCCTTTCTCTGGAATTTGTGCTCTTCACCCTCAACCACGAGTAGTCCGTTACCCGTGGTTGTCTGGAGCCGTTTTCGGGCGGGCCAGGGCCTCTCGAAATTGGAGTATGCCTGTGTCGACATGACTTCTCGTCGAGCCTGGGGAGATACCATGAGTAGGGTATCGGCGCCCCACATGCCTTTGTAGCGCAAAAAGTGCGTGTTCGGTGTTTGCTTGATGGCATCGACCAGGATGTCGGGCGTGGGAAATGAAAATCTTGCCTTCCATGCTGTCTTTTTGTCTGGGAACTGTTCGGCTCCTGTCAGTCTTCGTCTTGCGGCTTTTGTTTCGGTCGTGTCCCGTGCAGCCAACTTACCGTGAGTGTAGGGATGCGTCTCAAAGGATCAAATGCTCGGGCATATATTCTACTCTGAAGAATTCGTGCGAGCAGAAGTGTCACGAGACAAGTGCCAAACACGGTGGGCGTGGAGTATTGAACCGTCGTATGTTGATACGATTGGATCAGCCGAGTAGTAACAAAAGCCAACACTACTAGGAGAACTGTTTTGAGAGCCATGCCGTAACGTCTTCCTTTCTTTCCTTCGCTACTGRTACAATTTCTGATAGATCGTTGAAGAGTGTAGCTCTGTCCTGCGGAACGACCGAGAATTGTGAGCCGCAGTACAATGACAATCACGATGACAATCACTGGCCGAAGAAGATCCCGTGGAGTCTATCGGTGAATACGGCATTGTGGCAGATCGTCTTGAGAATGACGTTCGATGCGTAAAGCAATGAAGAGTTTGAGCCGCGTGAAGCTTACGACAATAATGCGGTACACACATCCGACGATCGGTGGACCCGAACCTTTACAATCTGTCTCAGACGCCTCTCCGCCATACCGCCTACTGTTTGATCAATACGAAAGGCTCGCGACCAGCACAAGCACCAAGTATACAAGGAGAACGAAATGATGGACGAGAAATGGAATGCTACTCCCGCTCCTGCACAATCCGCCAGCATGACAGACGAAGAATGGCAAGTCCATAAAGCCAATCCTACCAACTGGTCCGCGGCCCAGAAAGGATACCAAGTCTTCGCAGTGTCATTTCTCAGCTTCTGGATGTGAGACCCAAGCATCGCAGCTCAGTCATCCATACATACACTTTTGCTAATCGAAGCAGAAACGGAGCTTCGTCCAGCTACATCACAGGACGCCAATATGTTGCCACTGCTCTTCATGTGAGCACGGAGCTGAGCATTCTTCCCATGCCTATGTCGACATTAGGCCTTGTCTTTGGGCCCATCATTGCATGTATTCTCAGCACAAAATCGTCGTGGAACTCAACATGCTAACGAAGTTTTCATGTCACAGGCAGCGCCAATGTCTGAAAGTATTGGACGAAGGCCTATTTATTGGACGTCTGTGCCTCTGACATGTCTCTTTCTTCTTGGGTCGGGACTTTCGAATCACATCTATGGGGTCACCATCTGCCGCTTCTTCGCGGGACTCTTTGGGAGCGCGGTGATCTCTGTGGGTTGGTAGATGAGGCCAGTAGTAGCAGTACCACCATGTGGAGCTGACCAGAAAATAGGCAACGGAGGCACGCTGGCCGACTTGTACTTGCCGTACCAACGAGCCTTTCCAATCGGCGTATTCAGCTTTCTGGGGTTTGTAGGTACGCTGCCACTCACGCTTTTCGACCCCGGGCCATATGACTAAACGCTGTAGGGCCATCACTGGGGTTCATCGTAGCAGGCTTTGCTATTGAATATACTGGTGATTGGCGATATACTGCCTGGGTGCCATTGATGTTCGCCGTTCCGGCCGTTCTACTAATAGCATTCGCCAAAGAGACCCATCGGGCTACCATACTCCGTCGACTATCGAATTCGGAAGACAGATGGGAGCGAGTCAAAGCCGACTTGACTCGGCTAGGGAAACTCCCATACTTGACCATACTCCGACGACCTGTTCACATGCTCCTGACCGAGCCTGTTGTGGCTGCAATTGGAATATACACCGCCATTAGCTTCGCCATCATCTACGCCCTACTCGCGGCAGTACCGTTCATCTTCGAGCAAGTATATGGATTCGGTCTGGCGGCCTCGGGGCTGACATGGATCGCTTGGATTATCGGGTATTTTCTCGGCGCCTGCGTGAGCACATATATGCAGTATCGCTTGGCTAGAAATATTCGAGCGACGCAGCAGAAAACCTATGTCCCTGAGTGGAGTCTGGTGCCTGCCATGATTGGCTCTCCTATGGTACCCATTTCGCTGTTCTGGATGGCTTGGACGGCGCAGCGCAGCATCCACTGGATCGTCCCTGTCATTGCATCGGGATTCTACGCTATGGTGGGTGACATATTCCTGTCTTAGACTCCAAGAAAGACAATGCTAACGATGATTATTGTGGCAGGGAACGCTGCTTTGTTTCAATGCCGGACTCACATATGTCGTGGTTTTCTATGGCCCACGATATGGTGCGTCTGCATCTGCTGGTGCTCGTATGCTGAGCTTCTGTCTCGGCATTGCTTTCCCCTTGTTTTCAATTCCTCGTGAGTTGACCCCCGTTGGTGCTGCTCTCATGACGGGAGCTCTTTTACTGACTTTCAAGCAAGTATTTGAAGGTATAGGGATTTCTTGGGCGGTTTCCCTGTTCGGATTCGTGGCTTTGGCGCTGACGCCGACTCCGTACCTACTGTATCATTTCGGCGCCCGTCTACGAGCGCGGTCAAGCGGATAGAATCGACCATCTGCTGTAACGAACTGCAGCTTGGTCTACCTTACTTACTAGACGAGCGGTGACGAGTCAGAGAAACGACGGACATCATAGAATCGTCATCTTGATGCCGTATCCCGTCTTGTTGCAATCATGTCTACATGCGTTTGTCACAGTCACCTTGTAAGTTACTCTCACCGCCACGCAAGCTTTTAAGCCATCGATGCTAATCGGCGCAAGGGCTTCATGTGATCGTCACCTGGAGTCTGGATCAGACCCATATCGCGATGATCGGCTCACACTCCGGACTGCACGTCATCCCGCCGCTAATCCAATAGGGGGCTTAGATAGTCGATGCATTGCCCATAACAGGCAGGGATCGATTGAATCGCTGTTCAGTGTCTGCATAGCTGGAAGCCGTTGGAGGTTTCTTTCCCCGCGTCAACAGACCGCCATGGAAGCACCACGAACTCGTCTCGCCTCTTTGTGATACAATTGATTTTGGCGTCCAACTCCTTGACTTGGAAACATCATCACTGTTCAAACACTCCCATCATGGCGGAACCTACCCTGTTCGGCGACTATGCCACGGTAGTCACGAACATTGATCGCAAGAAATTTGGAAAGCGAATTGTACCCATGAGAGTATTTGCCTTTGGTCTTCCCCGAACAGCAACAGAATGTTAGTGCCCTTCCCCTATTTATATCCGTCAAAGAAAGCAGCCCAGCAAAGTAGCTGAGAGACCACCATCACAGCTACARCGAGCGCCCTCCGAATGCTTGGAATCCATGAATTCTACCACGGATGGCAGTCACTACTAGACAATCCCCGTGACAACGAAATGTGGCTCGAAGCCATCGAAGCCAAATTTGATGGAAAAGGAACACCATATAGCAGAAAGGAATGGGATAAACTACTCGGACATTGTCAAGGCGTCTCGGACTTGCCGGCGATTTTATTCGCAGAGGAATTGATAGAGGCATATCCGGAAGCCAAAGTCATTCTCACACATCGGAAATTCGAAAGCTGGCATGAGTGAGTGAGTGAGCGAGCGAGGCAGCTTGTGAAAAAAAAAAAAAATGTCGATTTGGAATGAATGTGGAAATATCCCAACCAACCGCTCTCTAACTAACTTGATTGATCCCTCCCACAGATCTTGCTCGAGAACTTTTGCTCCTATTTTACTCCATCCTCTCGCTCGCGGGTTAATCCCCATTACGAATTTCTTCCGACTGTATACCCGCTGGACACGTCCCGTGTGGATCCGATCCTGGAAGATTCTCTCTCGAGGGGACTTTGATAAATTTGGCCGGCAGATCTACGATGAACATTATGCGAGAATGCGGGCTCTTGTTCCTGAGGGAATGCTTCTGGAATTTGATGTCAAAGACGGTTGGGAACCTCTGTGCAAATTCCTTAATGTCCCGAGGCCGGAACTGGAGTTTCCTAATGTTAATGAGAAGGAGATTTTCGTTACGAGATGTAAAGCGGCTATGCTTAAGTTGAGCTTGAAAAGTATCGGGGAGAGGATGGTGTGGTGGATGGTTGTCCTCGTTGGGTTTTGGTTCGTGGCTTTTCGTTGGATGTTGACTATATATAACCATTTGGCATTGTAGAGCGGGTAGCATTATGTGTCAAGACCAGTCGCCTCTAGATCTATTCTAGCATGTGAAACCATAGTGTTGGTGATTGGCATAGTTCCGCTCTCGATCTGTTCCAGCAACGAATGGGCCCCAAACCCACCTGCTAAATCATCACACCAGTCAAAGGCGCCGTTCGAAGAAACTCCAATTGACCGGCCGTGAATAGCACGGTCGCTTATCAGACGTAATGCGGCAGTCTCAATATCCTCAAGCCTTGCAAACTTGATCCCCGCCGCTTTAAAGGCATCCATACGCCCCGCAAGCAGCGGAGTCTGTACAAAGTACGGTGCCAATAAATTGATACGCACCGGACAAGTCGCGCTATTGCGATCATCGAGTAACGACTTGAACACTCCTCGAATCCCCCATTTACTAGCACAATAATCCGTCCGGCCAGTCATTCCTCCATATCCAGCCTGACTGCCCACCAAAAGGATGGATTTATCATTTGCGAGGTTCGTCGCCTTCTCCAATCCCATGGCGTATTTGATTGCGAGCTGTGCGGTGAAGATTATGCCTTCCATGGAAGTGCGAATGCAGCGTGTTGTTGGCGGCGAGGGTGTTTCTGCGGCGAACAAGGCAGAGGGAGGTGAAGGTGCCAGGTCTAGAGCCTCTCCTAGAACTCCGGCACAGCAAATGAGATGGTCGATTTCGCTTGATGCTGTTGTCTCCTCTAGCCAGCTGAGCCCGGTTTGGAAGAGAGATACTTGGGACTCCCAATTCGTAACATCTACTGCGATGAATTTGATCCGGGCGCCTTGTGCGAGTAGCTCCTCTTCCAATGCTTCTCCCCTTAATCTGTCCCGATCGGCGATGATGATGTGGATATTTGTGGCTTTATCAACCAGACCTCGCACGAAAGCCTCGCCTATTCCAGATGCACCGCCTGTCACCMTGATATTCTTGTTGGAAATTCTCTGGTTGAGGCTCTGGTTATTCAATGGTTTGTTGAAGTCTACGGCTAGACTTGCAAGTCGTTCGAGGAGTTTTGCTACATTGTGGTTGTCGAGTTCTTGTCCTGTAGGTGCTGTCATTTTGTCGACTCACTTGGAATCGGTCGGATGTATGGCAGTAGTTGAGGTTTCAATGTTGCTTTCCAGTAGCAGACTGAGGATGGTTCTAGGAGTAGTTAGAAAGTGAGGACCAGTGGCGGCTTTGAGTGTACCTAGCGGACCATCTAACCCTTTTTTGTACTTTGCACACTGCTGATCATCAACTTTAAACACAACGTTTGGCATGACATAACAGGTTCACAACCCTCTCCCTACGTCACGTCGAATGGAGACACTACTCTCCAGTGCTACCAAAGGAAAGCACAAGAAGTAACTCACACAAAACGTGCACCATCAATCGACATGGAAGTCATCGAACATGTGCTTCCAGCACAGCACATCCGACAATACTATCGAGCCACATCAACCTCTCAGGGAGCAGCAGCAGCAGCAGCATTGCAGATCAGCGTAAAGCAATACATCCCACAACAGCAATCGAAACCTGGAGATATCACCATCCTAGCAGCGCCATCTTCAGGATCACCAAAAGAAATCTACGAGCCCTTATGGCATGCTATATGTCAGGGATTACATCAACAAGGCCACGGTGTACGTTCAATAATCATCATGGACTACGTCAATCAAGCCCAATCAGCGAATCTCAACAAAGGCAAACTCGGTAGCGAACGTACGTATTGTGAAGTCCTCAACAATATCTCCATCCCGTGTGATGACCCCCACCAGCTGATCAAAAAGTCTCGCAGCGTCCATGTTTGATCACGCGAGAGATGTGCTCTGCRTGGTAAATCATCTTCGCGAAGAGATGACGCTACCAATCGTAGGAGTCGGCCATAGTATCGGTGGCACAGTCCTGGCAAATGTAGCTCTCATGCATCCAAGACTACTGTGCGMGCTCGTCATGATCGAGCCAGCTCTCAACCCGGTGCCGTTCTCGTTGAGTCTCATCGGCTTGTATCCCACCACCTTCCGCAAAGACGTTTGGCCGTCGAGAGAAGCTGCCATACAGGAATTGCAAAGTGGTCCGTTGAAGAGCTGGGACCCTCGCGTTCAGCAACTATTTTTCCGTCATGGGATCAAAGATCACGATCAAGGTTCGCCTCCTGGCTCCGTCACTTTGGCAGTGTCGAAGCATCAAGAAGCATTCAACTTCGCCAGAGCAGTTTTCCCTCCTCAGCAGGGAGATTCCAGTGTTGCAACTGCGGATTTGCCTCGATACAGCTATCCGGATGTTAAAGGGACTAGAGTACCAGGTGATCCCTTCTACCGGCCAGAGCCAATCCTGACAGCTGCACAACTTCCCCGTTTACGACCAGGGGCATTCTACATCTACGGCGGTGGGTCGACGCTCGTGCTTCCTTCTGTGTTGGAGAATCGTCGTAAGCGGAGGGATGTCACGGGCATAGATTGGGATGGCAGTGGGGGTGTAGTTGGGGGGCGAGTAGAAGAAGCCACGATAGCTAATGGGGGGCATTACGTTCCTCAGGAGAAGCCAGATGAGGTGGGTAAGTCGATTGCGGATTACATTTCCAAAGAAATTTCTCGGTGGAAATTTGAGGATGAGAAGGAGGCGCGAGCGTGGAGTGAGGTCAGTCAGGCGCAGAAAGAGTCTATGGATGATAGATGGATGTACTGGGTTCGAGAAAGCGCTAAGCAAGGGCAGCGGATGAGGAAGCCTAAGCAGAAGTTGTAGAATACTGCAGCAGTGAAATGGGCTCTTCGTTTTAGTACAGTCGTTTTCATGGTTGTGTAGTCGTACTAAGAGCTAGCAGCGGACTGGAAGCCATACATATGAAGAGAACTCTCCGTTGACCCTGTTTGACTGTAGATGCATTGAAGCAAGCCATCCTTCAAAAGACTTATGTGCGATTCTTTGGCGATTTCCTAACCTGTTGAATCATGTCATCGTTTGAATCTTTTCCCGAGACTACCAAACACCGCAAAGAGCATGAGTACAACTCAAATGGTCAGTGCTCTTTGCTACGTTCGAAAGAAAGGGTGTGTATGACCCTTACTTTCATGCTTCACCTCAGCCTTAAATGGAGCTCCTATCGATTTGCCGCCAGCTAGGAAGCTATAAGGCGTCGGAATACGCTCTGTCTTGAACTACAGACGAGAAGCCTATGATTTGTTGTGTCGCTTGTTATTATGATGGCAAATTTGAATCGTAACTCGTTATGCTTTTTGCTCTCAAAAAAGCAGCTATGCATCATCAGTATGTTCATCATTCCCTAAATCACTTCAAAGCGATCGATCAGGGCGTCCTCAGAGACCAAAAATCTTGCCAGTGTTACCCAAGAGAATGCCTGCTGCATCAGCACCTGAGATGGCAGTCTTGTAAGTCTCGAGGGTCATCTGAACACCATTAGGAATCGTGTCTTTGCTGAGAGCAAGAACAATGGCAGCAGTCGAGAAGATATGGTCGTTTGTGATGCCCATCTTGCTAGGACGCCAGCCCAACTCATATGGCAACTTCTCCTGGGTAAACAACATCTCAAAGTAACTCTTTGGCGCGGTGTTGGCGAATGGCGATGATCCCAAAGCCTGCATAACGACGGCAGCCTCGGCACAGTTGATGATGATGCCACGGGGCTCGTACGCAAACTCCGGGTTGGTAGCCTCGCTGTCTGCTTTTCGGATGCCGCGGGCATTGGCAAGGCCCTGAAGGGTTACGAGATCACCTTCTTCAAAGCCACYCTTCGTTTGTTCCCATGCTGTTGGCCAGAACGAATGATCATCGCCAAAATAGTCGTCGCGGCGGGAGTAGCTCATGTCGTGCTCGATGGGGAAGTTGTGGTGGCTGAGAACGTCCATGTCGTACTTGAGGCTGTAAGGGTCGGGTGCGACTAAGCAGTGGGCACCAGCATTCTGTGTCGTTTGTTAGTAGTGTTTGCGATGAATGTTGACTGGATTACTTACACCAGCACTAAAGTCAAACCCTATGTTCATTCCTTCAGCCAAGCCCTTCATGATGTCGGGGACGTACAGATCCCTTCCGCTATGGTTGATGAAGCCGTGGTTGGCCATAGTGTTCATGACGGGGCAGGGACCACGCAGGTCATTAGGGCCCGGTGCTGTCCAGTTGGTAAAACGTGGGTCATTAGGGTCAGGCCCAAGGACGTTGATGGTCATGGCATTGATGATGTCCACGATGGGGTTGCCCGTGATAGGGTTCGGGATGTTGAGCTTTTGAGGGTATGCCAAAGCTGCAGGGGCGGCAAGAGCCAGCAAGACGATGGTGGTTGAGTGCATGTTGTGAGTCTTGAGATGATTTTGAGTAGAGAAGGGGATGTTGGGAAGGGCTGGTCTGTCTGTGTCCGAGGCACGTCCCCTTTTATGTTCGTCGTCCAAGGATGAGGTCTCTGGTAAAGGTCCTCGTGCCGGTTTCCCCAGGACCCTCACAGCTCAAAGCCCTCTCAACTCCGGCAAAGTGACTGACCATACAGAGTCGACGTGTTTGTCGGCTAGCAGAAAGTGCGGAGGCAATAGCGCTGAGCTTTGGGATGTATAGGKTGTCCTCTTCATTTTTCGCTGAAGTCCATCGGCAATATCTCTGCTGGCTGAAGTCTATCGGTAGGATCCTTGTTTGCTGAAGTCTAACAACTAGCGAGGAGAGTGATGGTCAAGTCCAAGCGACAGGATGGTCGATCCTTATTGTGGGGTAAGGGAAGATATTCACGTCTCTGGTAAACAGGACGAAAACGCTACAGGCATCTGCTTCGGTTCGTGTGTGATAACTCGAGTACACAGTGCGAAGCGCTGACCGGTGGTAGGACATGTTTGATTCACACTGACCAGAAGAGGCGGCAAAACTTGCAGACAGACCGTGCCTTGTTCTATGCCTAAGCGAGTGTTCCTTCGGGGAGGTGGGTGCGTGAAGAGAAGTTTTGCACTAGTAGATTGACCAGTCGTTGAGGTCGGATGCGGCAAGTCGAATGTGGGAAGCGAGCTGGCCTCCCTCGTGGGGCGCAGATCCTATGCTAGCAAGGCAGGCCAAGCCGGTCGAATATAGCCTTATGGCGCAGGAGCATCTCCATTCCAGGCACATGCGTGGCATGAAAAGCAAGTCGTGGCGAAGATTAGCGAATAGCTGCAGGTCAGCAGACTCTGCCATCCTTGTCACCTGCTTAGATGGTAACGAGCCGGGGATCACGGGCGGGTTCCTTTGCGCCATATCCCTTTTTTGTACCCAGCTAGTTCCGAAAGACATCCTGCCGGAGAGGAGTCCGGCAGCCAAGCGTTCACGTGCGTGATTTATGCCATATAGCCGGAAAGCTCAAGCTTCGGGTTTACCGGGCGTAGAAGGAAAGCATAGCCGGCCAGATATAACGGGTTGCGGAAAATGGCAATTTGAGCATCAAGATCCGTACGAAGCGCCAGCAGATCGAGCGGTGAGAAGCTTTCGAGCTTCAAATATGATCAAGGTAGTCGGATAGAGGTCTGGGAGAGTCGTTGTTCATCAGAGCGCCGATGGGAAAGTTAGGAGAGTTCGGCGGAAGCCAGCCGGAAGCTGCCTGCCATATCCGCGGAGCACAAGCGCCAAACCCATGTGGAATTCCGCCGTGGCGAGCGTTTGGCTCACATGGCCCCGAATCCCCTTGGAGAAGACGGCATTGTTGGAGGCTTTGGCTCGAGATTCGGGCCCAATCCATCAATCTGGATCAAATACCAGGCATCTCGAAAAGATACACCCAGTCGACTCCGAGATAGGAATACTACGGTCTCCTAGTGTATTCCTTCGACCTAAGTTGGCCCAATATCGATGTGGCATCGTACGTGAGGTGGACCCATTCTATTCCTGGCTCCCATCCTTTTAGATCCACGGCGCGGGCCGGGCCCGGCCGGGATGTCCGCACCTCAGCTACCTCAATGTCTTTCCAACCCTCCTCCTCGCCCTTCCTCACCAACCATGCAATGTAACWGGGCCTGGAGATGGCTTCGCACATCATCCGGTCTCGTCCCAGGAGCGAGAGCAGCAGCGTACAGCACGCTTCGGAACGCTTCAGCTCGGAGACCCACATCTCAGGCGACTGCCCACATGCCAGCGGACATGGAACACCCCGAGCATCTGTTCCATTACACATCCGGTCGCTGGCTGTGCGTCCTCCTCATTTCATCTTCCARCCCTGATAACTCATCGTGATGAGCAGATATAACGAACAGCGGCGGATGCAAGAGCGAGAGCGGATCTTCAATGTCGATGAGCTAAAGCGCTTGGCGGCCGAGGCAGTCTCGAAAACTGTCGAAGACGTCGTCTACTTTGACAAGCTGGGTGAGGGCGGTGCCAATCGTGCATTTGTCCTGCACATGAAAGACGGCACGCGACTTGTAGCTCGCATTCCGTATGTGAACACCGCACCGAGAGAACTAGCAGTCGCAAGTGAAGCCGCAACCATGTCTTTCATCCGCTCCCATGGTATTCCAGTCCCGCAGATTCACGCCTATTCGACGTCGGCAAACAACCCCGCCGGAATAGAGTACATCATAATGGAATATAGCCCTGACACTAACCTGTCCGACTTATGGTTTGACATGAACGAGCAGGATCGTAGCAAGTTCATAACAAGTCTAGTCTCGCTCGAAGCCCAATTGTTRAACATACGCCTCCCAGCAAACGGCAGCATATACTTCCTCCGGGACCTGCCTGCAAATGCGGACCGAGTGGCGATCGACGACGACTCCGAGAGTGCGGACTCTTTCGTTGTTGGCCCTAGCACTAGTCCAAGTCTCTGGCGCGGAAGGAGGGGCGGCCTCGATGTAAATCGTGGACCTTGTAGGCGGGATGCCTTCCAGACAGATGGCATATGCTAATGGGCAAGCAGACGTCGAAGCGGAAGCTGTCTTGACCGCTGGGGCCAAAAAAGAAATCGCCTACCTAGAGCAGTTCGGCCGCCCTCTATTTCCATACGATCGTATTCGGAGGGAGACATTTCAACTCGAAAAGCAATTGCCTTCTGTCCATCTCGACAGTCTACGGAAATATCTTACACTGGCTCCATGTCTCAYCCCAGCAGATCATCCCGAGCGCCAAAGGCCCATTCTCCGCCATCCTGACCTCCGACCTAGCAACATCTTCGTTTCCAGCCACTGCGAAATCACTTCCCTAATTGACTGGCAACACAGTAGCATCCTGCCCTTCTTTTTGCATGCCGGCATCCCGGACTACTTCAACAATTCATCGGATCCCATCTCGCAGTCCCTAGAGACCCCCAAGTTACCGCCCGACTTTGACGAATTACAAGAAGACCAGCGTACCGAGCAATATCAGCTATTTCGCACGCGCCAGCTCCACTACTCTTACGTGGCAGAAACAGCGAAACAGAGCCCCGCTCATTTTGCCGCTCTCGTCTCCCCTTACTCCATGATACGTCGCAGACTCCATCGACTCTCTAGCGATCCCTGGGCAGGCGACAACATCCCCCTTCGATCCAGTCTAGTTTTCCTCACGCAACGATGGCATGAGATAGTAACTGATTCGACAATTCCATGTCCGATTCACTTTACCGTGGAAGATGCGAACGAATGTCTCGCACTCGATGATAGTGAGCGTGAGGCTGAAGAGCAGATGCGAGAGTCGATGGAAATGTTAGGCATTAGGCCGGAAGGATGGGTTCCCTATGATCATTACGCGGCGGCGAATGAGGCTACGCAACGGATGAAGAGTGATTGCCTGGATCTGGCGGAGACGGAAATCGAACGGAGGGCTATGACTGAACACTGGGTCTTTGATGATATGGATGAGGACGAGTATTGGTAAGAGGCTTGGCGAAGTTTCGGTGGACTGGTAGGTGATATATAGTGGAGTTCGAGTGTGTTCTAAGCCATATAGATGATCTTTACTTTCTCGAATTCAAAGCGATCGTCGCTGTTGTAGTCGGGCTTCATTCGATACGTTCATCGGTTTGCAACTAGTATAGCTCAGACTATTCATTCATAAACGTCTCGGAACCACCCATAGTCGTCTAGAGACCGGAGCTAACAACCAACTCCATATTCACGGCCTCTCTATATCAGCCATTGAGTCGCTCGTAGTGCCAACACCGATGAATACGTCACATCCCGTCTTCTGGGGTGGAGATCTCCATTGTCTTAGGCGCTTAGAAGACGAATGTGTCAGCATCAGGCGGCAGGAATAGAAAGCCGATGCGCTGGGGTGTTGAAGTCCGCCTCAAACTTGTAGGAGGACTCGAGAACTTATAAGATCTCGGGGATTTTGTTGGAAAGATTCGGGGAGATTCTGTTACAAAACTGCGGGAAGATTCACTTACATGTATTCACTCATTTGTATTAGTAATCAGTGTTCCAGAAAGGAGGTTCTAGCCTGTGAGAGATGAGATCTTCCAGCGGGATCATTCACTCGCTTTGCAGATTTTCAACTAGTCAAGCAAGCAGCTAAGCGGAGTTTCTGTTGTTCAATGAGGTGCCTATAACATTCTAGAAGGATCAAGGCAGCAGGGACGTGGGGCGGTCTCACGCTCCACATTGAGTCTGCGGAGACGCACTTTACGTGTGAAGGAAGGAACGCATGATCGGAAGACGGCTTCTCAGTCGCGAGTCGAGTACTTCGCTGCCACTCTAATGATACATGCTTTCTGTAGCGTCTTTTGACTTTTTCTGGTACGGCGCATGGGTGGGGGAGGCACATGCAGTGGGGGCGTCTTCAGAAATCCGGAGCGGCGAAGGCGTTTAGACAACTACTATCGATCGCTGCGGCTCTGATTGACTATGCTATACCCGTACAGTCTCCATGTTGTCAGTGATCGCAAGCCGTGATAGCAATGCCATACTGATTCAGTGTGCCGGCATTGTAGACATAGACCTTGCGCTCGCATTTCCCCTCGGCTCAACATAAAGATTGGCTGTCTGGGGCGGCGCAGCATACGAAGGAATGTATGCGGCACAGTCTGCGGGGCAGTCTTGTTACTTAAGATTGCCATGCCGTAGCACCACGAGGAAACTTCATCGCGATGGATCAAGTCCAGCACGACGACGCTGCACTGATCGATAATGTGCTTAGACTGGCGTTACAAGTCCAAGAGCGGCCTGTGTCGAGCCTTTTGCCCTACTACGATCGGATTGAGCGCTTATTCTATACCACAGACCAACTCCGCCGCTCGGTTACTAGAGCCACCTTCCCTGCCACCCTCAAAACGCCACGCTCGCGAGTGATTAACGCACGATCTGTACTACTAGCTGCTTGTGCGACTGCTCCATCCCTGACGCAGATGATTCGGCAACACTTCAGGATCGAGGGGCACGAATGGTATAGGTCGTCCGGCGATCTACATTCCGTGCATCTCCAGCACATCCTGGCCTTCCAAAAATTGAAGAGTCCGGATCGCGTCGATACTAGGGATCGCCTCCTACTCATCTGTTCTTCTCACTCTTTAGCCATGGACTTCGATACGTACGAGCGTAGTCAGGGCTTCCAATCTAAGCATCAAGAGCTGTTGGATCGTCTTCTGAACTCGCAAGATCTTGCTATCCAACAACAAAGTCGAAACCATCGAGACTTTCTTGCAACTCTTGCCGGAGTAGAGTTGGAGAATGACAAGTTTGATGCCGGATTGCGACTTGGCTCCAAATTAAGGCTGATTCAAGCCTGTGGCATAACTACTGGCGTTGGTCCTGCACTCGAGATCTTGCTGGGCTTCGAGTGCCAGAAGTTAAGCAGGCTGCCATATCGAGAATTGCCGACCCTCTTGAATCTACTGCGGGACGAGATTCCCCGGGCGATTGCAGAGTTTTGCAGCGAATTCAACTCTTGGTGGACAAGCGTCTCTGACCATTATCATATTCTCTACAGTACGTTCCGGTCAGTCGCTTAGTATGGAGAGTCACTGACATAACATTTACTTCGTACAGCCCAGCAGCCAGCATACATCGCAGGTGTAACACCGACCAATAGCTTCGTCGAGCACAGCACATCACAAGACACGCTTGCATCGAGACAGGAGTTGATATGTACTGGGACCTACCAACAACGTCGACAGCGGCAAACRATCAAATTTTCGTAGACTGCACCTTTCCAAGTGCGCCAGAAACTGGGTTACAGTGCGAAAGCTGGATGAACAGCATGGCGTGTTACGGAAATTAGAACATGCGGGAATGTATCCTGAGCTCTCTACTCCCATCAACATCGCACTCTATGTAATCGCAATCTACTTGCTCAACTTTACAGCTTCCCTGAACACACTGTCTAGGTTCTGTCTAGTAAGTGCCGAACACTCAATATACCTTGCGAGGATTTTTTCAGCCGCCCGCGAACCATCTTCGTACGACACAGGCTCCAGGCCAAGGTCGCGAAGATCCTTCCGAACCTCCTCATCATCTCTCAAATCTAATTTCGTACCAACGAGCAAGATCGAGGCGTTGGGCGCATACTTTTGCACCTCTGGCTGCCACTGTGGAAAGGGTGAGAATCATTTTCCAAGGTCCCAGAAGATCTGTTCGACTGACCTTGGTGATGACTGTCTCCAAGAAAGTCGGGGACACGATAGAGAAACAGATGATGACGACGTCGGCTCCAGGGTATGTCTGAAGACGTCTCTGGTCGAAAATCTCGCCGAAGACTGGTGTATCCCAGAATTCCACATCCTCGCCTTCGATTGTTGATGCGTATCTCTTTGAATCTTCAGTGGGAATCCATTCGCTGGTCTTGGTGACTTGGACGTTTTCAAAGTAGGATGAAAGCATATAGGTTTTCCCGACGGCGCCGTTTCCCACTACCACGCACTGCTTGAAGTTAGGAGGGGTGACCATTCTCATATCGAGACTGTCTCGTAGCTCACCTTTCGTGACTTGGGTGTGTTATGCKACATCTTGATGCTTGCTGAAAGTCTTTGGATAACGTGGTATGTGGAGAGCGGTAGGAAGAGGAGTTGTTACACCGAGAGAGATGTTGTTGGACGGCTCGTTCGTGTACCCTTTCTAGTTACCTGCCTGTACTACCCTTCTCAGATACTTTGCTAGCCGCCTCGAGAGCTTGTTTCGAACCTACGCAAGGTGGTGGTCTCGACCAATCAATCTTGGGATCTGCGGTCTGTAGTCACAGTTGCGGCATAGGAGGACCCGCTAATGCCATCTATTGGTTGAAAAGCTCTTGTCCTGGACAATAGCTCGATATGATCATCTCTGTCCTTACGCTCAACTAGCAAAAATGAACGCCTACGATCCATATATTCTGCCGTGACCACTAGGGAATGCTGAAGGTGCGGTTCGCATCGATGTCAAGGGAGTACCTTGCCTTCGTTCATGTCCGAACTTCTCTAAACCTACAAGTCAGTGTGGGATCCAGCTGATGACTGGAGACTGGAGAGTCGTGGGAGCTGTGAGCGGATATCGATGGCTCTGGCGAAGCTGCTTCGTGATTCGCACGAAGTTGCTGGTGCCGTGCGGCTTAACAATGAGACCTGACATCTACGAGCATGGCTATGTGCATTGTTTCAGTTCCAAGGGAGAGCCGGATCGGTGGAAGAAAAGTGTACGATAGGAAAACAAAGGAGCAATAAATTCGCTTTTGCCCATGTGAGGAAGTTAACCGTGCATCCCGTTCGACCAACTCCAGCAACATACCACCCATAGATTGGCACAAATGTCTTCCATGCGACTGGAGAACACCCACAAATAACTTTCGACACCATGCCCCTGAAAATGTTTCAGCTTTTATGGGTTGTAACAAGGTATTAAGCTCGAGGAAGATCCTGGAAGACGACAATCCTAGATCACAAACTTAATCTTTCACACACGGGATTCCAAGGAACTCAGCAATAATTCAAGCTGTGCCATCCGAACAGACCGCTGGATGCACAACACTCTCATCATAGAACATCAATAGAAGTGACTCATTTCGGGAGGTTCACGGCGAGATGTCCGAGTTAGATTCCTTGGAAGCGTGGCCAGGCCAAAGCCAGGAGATTGAGTCTGCCAGGAAAAGCACATAACAATCGTCGTCCGCAATGTTTTCCATGATCCACATCTACGTTAAAATTGCTCCCCTAATTCTCCCATTCAAAATCAATAATGGGACTCACCAAGAAGAACAAAGCGAAGCCCGATGGCGAGGCAGACGCAGCAGCAGCACCGGATGCAGCAGCCACTACATTCCCATCCGCACCATCAACCACAGAACTCCTCCTCCGAGGAGAGCGCGAGAAGTCCCAAAGCGCCTATCAGCGAGCCCAAAAAGCCGAACGGGCCTACCGTGCCAAGAAAGAAGCCGATCGCGCTCGTGGCGATTACAAGTCGACCAAGTCACATTTTCGGACATCCTGCATGGAATTGAAGCTGGGTCTCAAATCTGCTTTTGGAGCTATGCGGGCGAGTCCTGCCGTGGTGCAGGAGAAGAGGACGAGGGCGGAGAGTAAGGCGGAGATACGAAAGGCGAAGAAGGATGAGGCGGAGAGGAAGAAATTGGAGGAGAAATTGAAGAAGGCTGAGGAGAAGGCGAAGCTTGAGGGGGAGGGAGCGGCGGAGGCGGAGGAGGCGGCGGCGTAAGGAGAAGGTAGAATTTTCATTTGTTAGGTGCGCTTTTGGAAGGCGTCAAGAATTGTCTGGTGGGAGAGCTTGTAAATAGCTGGGCAAGCGCGCATTTGGAGCGCGGGTTCGCTTAATGAGAGGTACAGTCCTAGATCGAAGGTCAATATATGGAGAGGAAAGATGGTGGTCAATTTGTGAACAGTTGTCAGATGATTCTCAACGGCTTCATTTCCGGCCGGCTTGGAATGCTTTCCACAGTTGTTGAGTAAAAACAGATGCGCTGTCCTTCTTCCAAAATCACAATCTTGGGATACTCTTGGCGGTGTTCAGTAGCCATTCTGTCGTAATCAAGTACGCCTATACAAAAGCTGCAAGCACTAGCGTAGCGACAAAAGAAGCAAATACAGCAGTCCAGCCGGTCTGAGCCACCGTCTTGTTATTAACGCCAATCGTCATGTCCCAGCACAAGTAACGTATCCCGTTGAAAGCGTGGAATGCGAAAGGCCAGGCCAGCGTAGCTTTGGTCAAGATCTGTAACGCAACTGGCCAAGCACCAAAAGCCGCTGCAGTAGCTGCCGAGGACATGTTCAATCCAAGCACCGGCGAGACCAAATACAAGGCTCCAAAGAGGTAAAAGCTGAAACTCATGGCCACGCCAGTAATGCGGGTGAGGGTAGACGGCACCGATGTGATTTGCCATTTGTAGATGCTGAGATGAGGTGACAGTGGACGACGCAAGCGCTGCTGAACAAGTATGTCGCCAACAGCTGATTGCGTGGTGTTCACTGGTGGAGGCTTGGTGGCATGGTGACTAGAGAGAGGACGGTCAACGGGAGTGCTCTATGGTCGATATGCGCTGGGTCTCCGATACCGAACGCAAGTTGCGTCAAAGGAGCGGGTCCAGGCCGCGAAGACAACCGCAGAGGGTCTGGCTGCTCGTGGAGTGAGACCACATACGCGGGCTGCTTGTGTGTCAGCACCGAGGTCGACAACGATCAGGGCCACGTACGAGTGGAAAGTGCAAAGAGCGACATGTTGAGCCAGCACCGGAGTGAATTCTTAGCAACGTCGCAGGGGTGAGTGTGACAGGACGGAGAGAGGGCGTTGTGAAAGAGAGAAATCCAAGCTGCGAGGCATCGGTGCCCACAGGAGAAGCCCCATAATAGTGGCATCCGACGGACTAGCCATTCTGGATATAGCCATGATTGTATAGCTGTTTAGAGGTAAGGCGTGCAGTCCAAAGCAGACAGGAATCGGCAGGGCAGAATTCCCTATTCGGGTCCGTCATGCGAGACGCGGAGAGGTCTCCTGTCCAATCGTTTCATGCTCCATTTTTATAACAACAATGCCATTACAAGATACCATTGCGAAGGATTTCCGTCAATAATGACACGTCGAAGAATCTCTAGAACGATGTAAATTTCAGTCTTGTGAGTTCTTGTACTCGTTGATTGTCTTCAACTAGAGAGTATCTTCATCCACTCGGGCATGTAACCAAATGAGAGGTCGGAACGCAGTAGCTGGTGGCAGGCAAGACGAAGCCACAAAGCCCTGATGGACTAATTGGCACATAACCTAGTTCTACTTAGCATCAGTAGCGATACCAAGCACTTCTTGTATAGCCTCCCGAAACGCATCCCGAAACTCCTCCACGCGCCGTGTCTGAAGCATTTGAGTCGAAAACGAAAAATGAACCACAAAAGACTCAGGTACTTGAGATCCAGAAAGAGACCTAGACACCTGCGGTTGCGGTTCCACGACAACGAACAGGCCAGTAATTCCAGCAAAATGTCGACTATGCTGTCCCACACCAGCACCGCCGAGTGAAAATTCCACCGGGCTCGTTTCTGTGGGTGCAGCGCATTCGTTTTCCACGCTGAAGCCTTGGTATTGTAGAATTGAGCTGAATTGCATAGATTCGACACCGACGCCCTGGAAGGGAAGGGAATCGAAATACTGACGCTCCACTTCGTTCAGGATGGAAGGTGAGGGAGCGGGTTCGGGTGGAAATGTCGTTCGAACAGGAATGTAATTCACGCATGGACCGAAGAGGGGGTCGTCATCGAGGTCATCGTCAGATAGCGCGCTGGGTCCAGTGGCGCGGCCGTCGGTGACGAGGCCGAACATCACATCGGACCTACGCAAGACCCGAGCCAGTGCTAGACCCCAGGCGAGCTGAATGATTGAAGCTGGTCGCGCAGTCCAAGGTCCAGGTGAGAGTATGGGCACCTCAAAATCAAAGGAAGTGTCTGGGAAGGGCATGGGTTGATCATGTGTCGGATGTGTTGGTGTTAAACTCATTGGCGCCAAGCCCTGCAGTAACTGTGCCCAATACACTCTCGCGGCAGTACGGCAAGCCTCAAGTCTGCCAACATAATCTTGAAAGCTTTGTTGGGAGGTCGACTTTTCCTGAAGTAGGGTAGTATACTTGGCACGTAAACGGTGTATCAAGGTCGGGAAACAAAATCCGTCGTACTGTGCATGCGACAGTCGTATCAGTAGTACATGATTCTCTCCAGTTGCGCGTGAGGGTGCTGTCTTTTGTCGGTCTCCTTCCACGAGGACGAAGCTAGTGACAAGTTCGCCGTGACAGAACGGATTAGCTTTTAGATGGGCGTCGGCCGAATGGCGGGCAGCTTCAAGCAGGCTATTCTCATCATCAACCGAGGAGGAGTACCTGGTCAGCGTTGCTAAGCCTTCGGAATCAGACAATACAGCCTGAGCAAAGTGATTGTCATGCCGCACGAAGACGGTACGCAACAGAGGTATGCTTTCGATGAGGAGCGTCAGTGCTTTTTGGAGTCGACTGATTTCGAGCGAGCCTTGGATGCGGATGGGGAAGTATGTGACATATGCGCGGGTGTCCACAGCACTGCATCGCAAGCACCAGGATTGGAAGTCAGTCGTCTTGTACACCGTCTCGAGCTGCTGTGGATGCACGCCGAGATCCTTGGCTACCTGAACGTGAAGCTCCGATTGGACTCCGCCGTTGTCGCTGGCAGATGCTATTTCTCTTCGCTCTTCTGTACGGCTGCCGGTATCGATCTCAGTAGCCTGCATCAGGAGCGCCATATCGGAGAGAACAGGTGATTTGAAAATAGCTGCGACGGCAAGCGAGAACCCAGCCTTGCGTACTATGGCTGCCAATCGGAGTGCGGCGTAGGAGTCACCACCGACACGGAAAAAGTTATCGTGCATCCCAACCGCCTGACCAGGGATATCGAGGACTTCGATCCAAAAGTTTTTCAATGTTCTTGCGCTGGTAGTCAGGGGCTCGCTCTCGTGGGTTTGCTTGAGGAAGAAGCTCGACATAGCATCGGTTGTTAAACTTTCCGCAGCTTCTTTCAGACGCCTTCTGTCAAGCTTCCCGGATGCCAGCAGCGGCATAGCCTGAACAGGAATGAACAGACTAGGAACCATGTACGGCGGAAGCCGTTCATGGAGTCGCTCGGAGACGAGTCGGGCCTTGTTGGTGCAAGAGGCTGTAGCTTCGGCGAAGAAGTCACCACCATCGCTCATCTGCTGGCGCTGGTTCGACCCTGCAGGTGCTTGACAAACGAATGCTGTCAAGATCTGTCCTTTGCCTCGCTTCAAAGTGTCAACGACAACGGGTCCGCACTTCGATGGCCATAATTGCGATACGCTTGCTTCCACTTCGCCTGGCTCTATACGTAGACCATGAAACTTCAGCTGACTATCTTTGCGACCAAGAAAACGAAGCTTATTTTCGGGGTCCCGGAAAGCCAGATCACCCGTACGGAACATGCGTCGCTCGGGACCGGCCCAGGCGACATTGGTGATGAATGAAGCTGCCGTTTTGTTCTCGTCGGCCAGATATCCGGCTGCTAGAATGCTCCCCTCGATGAGCATCTCTCCTATGCATCCTGGTGGGACTATGCGGTTCGGGTCGTCCGAATCGACGAGCCAAACCATGCATCCAAGTGGGGTTCCAATGGATCCGGAGAGCATGGGATTACGCACATGCGACTCAAGCGTCGAGACAACAGTGCATTCTGTCTGTCCGTAAACAATATCCAGCCGCTCGACACGGGTGGACCAGGTAGCAATGTCCTCTTTGGATACATGCTCGCCACCAAGTATGAGGTGTCGAAGGGTGGTCAAGGAAGTGCCAACGAGTAGTCGTGCTACGGAGGGGGTCAACATGGCAATATCTACCTGCATAGCCGCCATGGTGTTCYCGAGATCTTCCAGACGAGCCTGCTCTGAGGGCACGCACACGCAGCCACCAGAGATGAGAGTGAGAAAAATTTCGTCCACTGCAACATCGAATGCAGCTGATGCATATTGAAGAACATTACAGCCTTCCGTAAACCCCATGGGTTCGGCACGATGCGAGATGCCGCTGCTCAGAGCTCCATGGGTTATCATGACGCCTTTGGGAACGCCCGTGCTACCAGAGGTGAATAAAACGTACGCCAGACTATCGAGAGGGAAAGGCTTTGGCCGTCGATCCTGCCAGGTTGCAATGCCCTTGGCCCCAGCCAGCGATTCCCTCCCGAGGATGACCGTATTAGGGACGAGATGTCGGAGTCTTGCCGCACAGACGGACGAGGCAGCACCAATCTTTGCATTGACGCATCTAAGCACTGCATCAGTACGTTGTTGGGGATGTGAAGGGTCCAGTGGCACAAAGGCAGCGCCGGTCTTGAGTATTGCAATGATTGCGACCACGCTCCACATGGACTTTTCAAAGCAGAGAGGAATCATACAACCGGGGCCTGCGCCAAACTTGACCAGGATAGCAGCAGCTTGCTCCGAGAGTTCGTCAAGTTCGTGGTATGTGAGAGTTCCATCCCAGCTGTGAACGGCACGCATCCCTGGGGTCTTATGCGCCCGAGAACACACCAGGTCGACGATGGTCGCGTTGACAGCACGAGGTACGGCATTGATAGGATTGAAAGGCATTGATATGGTGTTGACAAGCCTGTCCACAGACTGAGCTGGTGCGTCGAGCAGGCTGCGAAGAGCGCGCAAGAACACATCCGCAGCACCCTCAACCTGATGTGAGGAGATTCGTTCTCTCCAAAAGCAGAGTGTGACGTTTGTTAGTGATTCAGAGGTGTCGACTGTGACCGCCAAGTCGTACTGTGTGCATCATGTCAGTGCCGTATTGATGTTCCGGGAAAGTGGGTCAAGATCTTACCTCCGTAGGATCGCGTGAGAATTTGGGCTCTAGAAAGTCGTCCGACGTAGAGGCCAAGCTGTCACTCGAATATGCCACCGAAAGGCCTGTGTTGAAAAGTTGCGAGGTTCCCGACTCGTGTGATACGTGTATCAGTGATTGTGAGCCWCGAATCCTGTCCAGGAACTGCTGGTATGATTTCGATAGCACATCAACCAGAGACATATCGGAAGATTCCAGCGAGACTTGAGCTACTAGCATCCGAATGTAGACTCCGACCGCGTCCTGTACGCCTGGCAAGTCGGCATCACGTCCAGAGTGCAGAAACCCAAACACAGGTTTGCGTGAACCGGTGTATATGCGAAGAACGATCGCCCAGCATACCTGTGCTACAGCCGCCACCGTCACTCCACGGGTCTTGCAAAAAGCAGTCAATCGTTGAGAGTCGGTAACTCCCAGGCTTCGGTCAATGCTGTCAAGTGTGGATTTGACCGAACCCGCATCATGGACGCATGGGAAAATGCAGGGCTGTATGTCGGGAAGTTGTTCAGGTGGGCATCCAGGGCTTCCTTTCTGCTTTTTATGTTGTTTTTGCTGTTGCTGCTGCTGATACAGCTGTACGAGTCGACGATACCCCAACGCTGGAGGACAGGTATGAAGTTGACCTGCATATGCGAGCTTCCAGTCACGAAGGATGACATTGAATGAATGACCATCCACAATGGCATGACTGATTTTGAGAACCACCGAKAGGCCGCGTGGGGTTTCCCATATGGTAAGAGTGTGCGGAAGAGCTTGGTGGTGAGACGGCTCTGGAGACCGTTTCACCAACGAGTCTGTGTCAAGGCAGTCGTCTTCGCTTTGAAAGTATTGCACTTCCGCCCGGACCCTCCCAGCCTGAACCACAACTTGATAGAATTGGGAAGCTGCTTCGACGAAGAACGTCCGCAAAGATGCATGTCGCTCCACCACCTGACGCCATGCACGTTCCAGATGTTCCTTTTTGATAGCGTGTGGATTGGTTTCCTCAAATGCTATTTGTACCAGGTATTCGGCCTCGTTCCGGGTTCGCGAGATCAGAATGCCAAGCTGAGTTCCATAGCAAGGATATGCATCTTCAACGTCCATCGGAGCCAGCTCGCGAGTGGGAAGTTCATGGGCTTGCAAATGATTCAGTTCATCCTGGGACAATTGAAGCAGCGGAAAATCACTTGCAGTGAGTCTGCGCTGCTGTGAAGCCAGTCGAGTCCCCTCTGTCTCCAACAGTCGACACCATCGCCCAAGCCAGCGTCCGATCAGTTGGCGATGTTGCATACTCCGGTGGAAGTGGAGGGACAGGTGAAGTTTACCCTCTCTCACCACTCCAATGGCATCGATGAGCGAGCTGCGAGCCAGTTCGGGGCTGACATCGAGGAGGGGGTCTAGTTCCATAGCATGGTGTTCTGACAGAGTCTCATCGTCCTTCACGCGAGACTCTGCGCGATCTGCGCCAAGGTAGTTTAACATGATCTCCGTAGGAAGTGTGATGCCATCAGCACTTAGTATCTGCCGAGCCAACCAGTCTGCGCCGTTGCGTGAGGTACCGTGCATTTGGTCTTTGATTGATTGAAGGACGCTGTCAAAGTCCTCTTCTTCGCTAGCCTTGGTAACACATGCCTGGATGGGATACAGAGTCGTGAACCAACCCACTGTCTGGGAAACATCAAGATCCGGGTCCCACGATTCACGACCATGTCCCTCCGAGAAGGCAGTAATGGCTTGGCGTTGTGGGAAGGTTTGGAGGAAAGACAGCAGGAGGGCGGTGGCAATGATATGGATGGGTTCGGTAGTGAAAGCGAGGTTGGTCTTGCCCAAAAGAAGTGCAGTCGATTGTGGTTCGAGACAGGCGTGCAACTGTTCCACTTGGCCGTAGACGTTGTCGGCGGCTTTTATGCCCCAGAAGTCGAGATATGCGTCAGGTGCCGGCATCGAGTTGCATAAGGCTGATGATGGGAGGTCCTGAGAGGCTTTTATATGTTCCACTTGCTCAAGGCACCAAGTGCGGAAAGAGACAGAATGCGACTTGGGAAGAAGGCCGTTGAAGGAACGACAGAGGAGGCGACGCAGGTCATCGATGATGATTCGCCACGACACCAGGTCMACGATGTAGTGGTGAGCGACGAGGTAGAGCAGACGGGGTCGGTCCACGGCGGCCGGCTCTAGCAAGGTTGCGGCGAAGACGGGGCCATGCTGAAGATTCAGGCTTCTCTGTGTCGCGCAAATGGCCTGATGGGAATCTTCACCGCTTCGCACCGTCACTTTGACCACCGCAGCCGCGGCCACGGATTGTAAGCCCGCCCGTAAGTCCACTCGTGTCCGAAGTGCGGCATGATACTGTACCAGCGCCGCTAGTGCGCCTTCCAGGGCTGCTTTCGTCACGTGCGCTGGAACCTGCAGCATTACACTTTGATTGAAGTGGTTGACATGGCTGCTGTCTCCAAGAGTGTGGATTCGTCCAAACAGACGCTGAACGGGGGAAAGTGGGAACGCCGCCCCATCCTCTTCCCCCTCCTCCTTACGATGACGCCCGTTCGTCATACCATTGCTTACGTCCCGGCTGGAGGCGGCAAGGGCGCGGAGAGGCTCTCGCGCCAGCACATCTGCCATGTGCAAGCGGAGTCCTCGGGCAAGTAAGCGTGCGACCAGTCGCATGGCCATGATCGAGTCTCCACCGAGTTCTTGGAAAGTGGCAGAGCGGCCGATCTGGGCTACGCTCATGCCCAGCAAATTTGCCACCTCCTCCACGACGATGCATTCTTTACTTCCTTGGGGAGAGTCGTGAGGCTCAATCACATCCTCGGAGCGCCCGAAGAGTTCAGACGAGGACATACCACTCGCCATGCTTCGTAGCGCCTTTCGATCCACCTTGCCCGAGGGTAGCAACGGCAATCGTGCCGATGGCAGTGGAACTATGGCTGACGGGACCATATAGGTGGGGAGTTGACGGGACAGTTGACGTTGGAGATCGCGGAACATCCCCCGTTGCTTATTCTCCGAGCCGCCTGACAAGCCCACGAAGCCGATGAGCGTGGCACCCGCCCCCTCCCGTTGGATGACTTCCACAGCCAACTGCACCCCTGGCYCCAAAAGCTTGCGCATACATTGCTCAATTTCTCCCAGCTCCAGACGCTGACCTCGTATTTTGTGCTGTTCATCTTTACGGCCTACGAGGTGCACTCGGCCTTCAGCATCCAATCTAGCCAGATCTCCCGTCCGATAGCACCTCTGCCCAGGTGCCCATGCAGGATCGTCCGAAAAGACCTGAGCAGTGCGTGTGGGATCACCCAGATAACCGCGACCGACTGTGGGACCAGCAAAGCAAAGTTCGCCAACTGCTCCAAGTGGTAGCTCCCGTGTATCGTCCGGCGCTACAATGGCGCATCTGCCTGTGATGACAGGTCCAACGATGCAGGGATCAGCATCTCGGGCGAGGTCTGGCTGGAGGGTTATGATGGGAGACACTTCACTCGGTGCATACCCGTTGTGCAGATGAAGCTGATCTGCCCACTCTTCGATGACGGATCTTGTGGCCATTTCACCCGCAAGCATTAATGTTTTCAAGCAAGGGATTGCAGCCCCTTTGAGCCCAGCGGACACGACGCTAGGCGTCAAGCACGCAAAGTTGACATTGTATTCGATGCATGTCTGTGGCAGACGCTCCAACAAAGCTTCTTGTTGTGTAATACAAACCGTACCACCCACCATGAGGGTGTCGAGAATTTCCAGCAAAGAGATGTCAAATGCGTGACTCGCAAATTGTAGCATTCGTGAGTCGGCCGAGAGGCCTGTGGCTTGAGCGTACGCTGTTGCCCCGGCTAGGTAGTGCCCATGTTCCAGTAAAGTAGCCTTCGGCACTCCAGTAGAGCCGCTGGTCAGGACAGCGAGGGCTGCATGATTACGCCGCACTTGGGGGAAAAGAGTATTATCTCGTGACATTGGAAGCTGTCGAAGGAAGAGCAAAGATAATTCGACAACGCTGCCCTCAAAGCGGGCAGCGTGAGACGTCGAGGCGATAATGGTGCTCGCCCCAACAGTTGCACACGAGTCGCGCAGCCTCTGATCGGGGTAAGCCACATTGAGGCCCATGGCGACTGACCCAGTTTGAAGTACCGCCAATAGTGCAATTGGGTAGAGTCTTGGATGCGGTCAGCGGGAAAGATATTGCGAAGTGGCATATTGGGGGACATACATTGATTTCTCACAACAAATGGGGACAACGGCTTCCGGTCTAACRAGCTCTGCCTCGGTCAGGTAGAGGGCCAGCTTTGTAGACAATGAAAGAAGTTCTGCGTACGATACCGTTCCATCCCACGCCTGAACCGCAACTTTGTCAGGCGTTTCAAGTGCACGATCTGCAATCATGGAGTGGATGGAATCGGCGGGAATAGTGGCCATTTGAGGTTCCAGACCAATCACGTCTTCCGCAACGCGATCCACAGGAATGAAGCGAATGTCGCTGACGAGGAGGTTCTCATCCGCCGTGGAGAGCTGGGATATAACAGCTTCGAGATTGATCAAAATCGCATCCGCCTGTCTGCTACACATACAGGATTCATCAAACGACAAGGTTAGTGTGACTTCAGAAGCGAGAATGACGGACTCGATCACAAGAGCATAGTCCAGATTGGTCCAGTCCGCATCCGGGATTAGATGTGAGGTCCGGAATGAATTGATTCCTGGAAATTGGGAGGAGTTGTCTTCATCAATAGATATCAGTTGGAGGACATTGAACGCACAAGCCGAAGCGGCGTCTGATGAGATTTTGGCAATGTTCTGCAACCCGATATCGTAAGGAATCATCTCAGCAGCCTCTACTTGTAAACGAGTAACGTAGTCGACTACACGCTCCTCGCGATGCAGCTGAACGCGCACCGGTACAGTGCCAATCGTAGGCCCTGCGATCCTGTCCACGCCTGGGATGTTGGCGTCACGGCCCGACAAGTTCACTCCCCAACACACATCGTCAGAGTAGTAGTAGGCACTCAAGATGATCGCCCAAGCCGCACGCAATATTGTTGCCGAACTAGCTCCTCTATGATTCCGATTGCCCCATGGCACGGTCCTGCTCAGCATTTTGTCCGGTTTGGAGTCCGGGCGTCGAGTGAGGAAGGAGAACGTGCTGCTCGTCTCCCCCTTGAGGTACGAAGCCCAGAACGCCTTGGATGGTGCTTGGATGTCTTGCATGTATGCTATGTAGCGGCTGAAGGATACCAATGTGTTGGGGGTGGAAGATGCGTACAGGCTCGCCGCCTGCTCCWTGAAGAGACGCATTGTATGTGCATCATACAGAGCGTGATGCACCATCCAGACAAAGTATTGTCCGTGTTGCATCAAGAATAGCTGCGACAAGCAAGAGCCAGGGCCCAGGGTTTCTCGCCACTGCTGCCAGTGTTTYCCGAGTTCAGACAAGGGCAAGTCATGCATTTGGGCCCATATTGCTCTGGTAAGGGAAGGATGCAGGACCGCTTGAAAGGTGCCACTACTATGCACGATGATACGGGTCCGTAAGATGTCATTCGCTTCCACGACCGAGTCCCACGCGGTGCGGAAGCGCTGCAAATCAATATCCGGCGACAGTGTAAAGGCCAAAACGTTGGTATACGCTTGACGTTTCTGCAATGACCCTACCAACATCCCTTCTTGCATAGGACTGCAGGGTAGGAGGTCAATGATGTCGTCGGGAGATATGGCGCATTGCTGCGCGGCGCTCTCCCTGAGCTCGCCAACCATTGAGGCGTCAAGCAGGGAGAAAGGTCGCACGTGAGTTTCGTCATTCATGGTCAACGAGGCAGTCGAGGTCGGGTCGTATGAGCTGGCGGCAGCCATATCGCATAGCTTAGGGCATTTCATAATGGTGCCAACTGTCAGACTCAATCCGTGAGATTTGGCGGCCCGCGCAAGTTTGGCCGCAGAGATGGAGTCCCCGCCCACGCGAAACCAATCATCATTCACGCCAATCTCCTCCTCCGGTACAGCCAGAAGCGTGGACCAGATGCCTCGCAGGATGGTTTCCGTGGCATTACGTGGTGGATCCTTACGACCCAGCCCTTGAAGCAGATATTCGCGGAGCTTCGTGGGTGATATGTCTTCAGCAAGGGTCTGCAGCAATTTTCTATCCGTCTTGCCATTGGTGTTAACAGGGATCCGTGTGAGAGGAACAAACATGGTGGGGACCATGTGGCGCGGAAGATCGCTTTCGAGTTGTCGCATCAGGTCTTGCATCTTTGCGTGCAGTTCGACGGACATGGGCAGGATGACATCCTCGCCACCCCTGCCCATCCCCACGAAAGCGACAAGACGCTGCCCATCTCCGCCCACCTGCATGACTTGGACAGCGTTATGCGGAAAGCCGGCCGCGCGGATGCGATGCTCGACCTCACTGCTGTCCAGACGTTGGCCACGAATCTTGGTTTGCGTGTCTTTGCGGCCGATGATGGTGAGACTGTCATCCATATTTTGCTTAACAAGATCTCCAGTTCTATACAGGCGCCTAGACCGAGGACCTGCATGGCCTTGCCAGGGTGCTGATCGCGGAAATGCAGTCGCTTCGCTGTCAGAAAGATACCCGCGGCCCACAATCGGACCTTCGATCCATAGCTCGCCAACACAGCCCTTGGGTACCAGGTGGCTAGGATTGGACTCGTCGACCACCCATGCGACGCACCCGTATGTTAAGCCAATATTGTTGGGACTCGGAGCCTCMAGTGCACTCAGACACTGAATAGTGGCGCATATCGACGCTTCGCTAGGCCCGTATCCGTTCCACAACACGACATGTGTCCTCCACATCCTCAGGTCTTCGGCATTCAAAGGCTCACCGAGCAGAACCAAGTCCGTCAAGTGTGAAGACAGCTGGACATGGTCCAGAGTTCTGGCCACAGTAGGCGTGAGAAACCCAAAGTTGACGTGAAACTTCGCTATGCTTGCTGCAACGTCTCCCCGAATCTCGTCAAAATGCGGCACCGCGACGCTACCACCGTGTACAAGAGGCAGCAAGATCTCGTCCAGTGAGGCGTCAAACCCGTGACTGGCGTACTGCAACGTTCGGGTGTGATGACCGATCCCAAGAGCTTGGCCACGCACACAAAGGCTCGTTGCTAGAGACGAGTGTTCGATCAGGGCTCCTTTCGGTTTTCCAGTACTTCCAGAAGTGAAGATTGTATATGCGAGGCTGTTCATACTAGGAGGGACCCATGTACGGGGACCAGAGTCTCTCAGACCAAGGATTGTTGGATTCGGTACTGCAGTGATATCAAGACTCGTCGCAATGGACTGGAGACGGTGTCTCATAGATTCGGAACATAGGATGTGTCGAGATTCGACCCTTTCCATGATTTCCATGAGACGATTATCCGGCCAGGCGGGATCAGTCGGAACCAACGTACACCCAGGCGTTTTCAAAGCTGCCATGAGTGCCACGACATACCAGGCAGACTTTTCGAACACGAGAACCACAAAGGTAGTGTCCTGCTTCTCTTCGCAGCAAGATGCCAAGTGGAGCGACAGCCTGTGACTCAGCTGGTCAAGTTCGCTGTAAGTGAGGCTCTCGTCCCATGCCAGAACCGCTGGTGCAGCGGGTCGCGATTTGGCGTGTTGCTCGAATAATTGAGCTACGCTCTGTTCACATGCGAGTGGCAAATCCATGTTCTTATTAAGTAGGCTTTGTCTTTCCTGGGGGCTAATAATCTCGATGGCCTCCACTTTCTCATCTGCTCTGTGCTTCCGCAGCTGCCGGACGACATGTCCAAGCTCCATCATGAGCATCTGCACTTCATCAGCGGTGATGATGGTATCATCAAAGCGTGCGTGAAGCTCTGCGTTGTGGCCTGGATTTAGAATACACTCAATGTTCAAGGGGTGTGTGTGGAAGCCTGTAGAAGGCTCTTCAGGTGGTTCGTAGCCCACGAGATCTGGTGCACCTAGGCTAGCAGCATCTTGAACAACAAGAACACTCTCAAATGTGCAACTGGTTGGCTGGATGAGTTTGCGAATGTTCTGCAAGCCATAGTGCTGGAATGGAAGCATGTTGGCCATGTCTGACTGCACTTGTGCCAGAAAACTCCGAGTTGGTGTTTCTGGATTCCATCTGACGCGAGCGGGAACCGTTGCAATGGTAGGTCCAGCGACATCTGCCAAATCTCCTGCTGCGCTGGACCGACCACTCAGGACAGTCCCGAAGATGACATCAGTCGCAGACGCCCGCTTGCCGAGGACGAGAGCCCACGCAGCAATGAAATATGTCGACGGCAGCACATCGCGTACCTGCTGGTGCTGGAGGAGGCTGATTACGTGTTTTACGCTGGAGCGAACACGAGGCTCCGAAAGAGCCCGAGAGGAAAAGTAAGGATATGGGGTCGGGACAGCTTCATGAAGCATGGACTTCCAGTAGAGCCTCGCTCGCTCGCTCACATTCTGTTCGAGTACATGAGCGATGAACTGGTCAAATGTCGTGGATGGAGGCGGCCGGCGCCCAAGATAGCTGGCATTCGTAGTTTGAATAATCAGGGACCATGTAAAGGGGTCATAAAGACAGTGGTGGATCGAAATTGCGATCTCGTCGTCTTTCAACACCGCTATTCGGAAAAGTGCCGTGCCAGGAAGTATAGGATCGTTCTTGGTTTCGCTCAGCCACGTTTGAGCTGATATGGACGATACTTCGATGTCAAGACTGCACTCTGACGACAACACCGCTTGCCAGAAATGACCATCCTGGCTTTGCACGATCCGCGTGCGTAGGATCGAGGTCACCGAGAATGTCGTTCGCCATGCAGTCAGAAGTCGATGTAGCGAGGAAGTTGACGAGCTTTGGCTGCTTCGGCGGAAGAGGTTATACGACATGTATACTTCCGGGTTGCCCAAGGTGGATGTGAACATGGCTTCCTGGAGTGGCGTGCACGGGCAGATATCTGATATGCGCTCAGGTGGGACGCTGCACTGCTCTGCCGCTCGCGCGCGTAGTGCTTCGAGGCCCTCAGCCTCAACGAAGCGGAAAGGACGAGAGTCTGCCGAGTTCACACTGGCAGGGCTCGAACTATGATCACTCTTTCGCAGCATCGCGGCCATGTCCCCAAGTGTTGGATGCTGGATGATAGTCCTCACGTCCAAGATATATCCATGTGCTCGAGCAATAGAGACCAGTTTCATAGCTGAAACAGAGTCTCCTCCTACACGGAGAAAGCTGTCGTGACGTCTGCACAAGTCCAGATTCACACCCAGGACCTGGGCCCAGAGATTAAGCATCTGCTGTTCCGGTTCGGTGCGAACCTCATCCTCTAGACCTTGAGAGTGAAGCTGAAAACTAGAGTACTCCGAGGCTGACAGCCTCTCGGCGAGTTGACGGAGGCCTCGCCGATCAGTTTTTTGAGACGCTTCTGACCGCGGGAAAGATTTCAGCGGTATAAACGCGGAAGGGATCATCGACAGCGGGACTTTGGAAGCCAGGCGATCACACAGGGATGACATCTCCGTAACGAACCGTGTGTTTTCAGACTGGTCGGCGTCGGCGTCGATCCCCGTCTGGATAAAAGCCACTATCTGAAGAGACTGATTGTGGTCAATCGCTACGACGGCGATGGGTAAGTCTGGAAGCTCTGCAGCGATGTGGTGCTCCACTTCTCCAAGGTCGACCTTCTGTCCGCGGAGTTTGATCTCGGAATCTTTACGCCCAACATAGCTCAAGGAGTTGTCGTCGTTGTACACGACAAGATCACCGGTGCGATAAACCCGTCTTCCATCGGGACCGCGATGTCGATGTGCTGTGTCATCTGAGAGCCAAGCAGGCCCTTCTATAAACGCAGCGGCGGTCAGGTCCGGGGCATCCAAGTATCCGTCAGCCAAGATCGCTCCCTCGATGCACAATTCTCCCACGGCCCCTAATGGCGTCAAAACATTGACATTCGATGGGTCCACAACCCATGTCACAGACCCTGTCGCTGTACCTATGCTGTGAATGTCCTTGAGGTGCGGTGGCACTTCTGCGATGGTGCATATCACGGCACACTCTGCAGGGCCGAAAGCGTTGAACAGACGCAATCGGGACGCCCATTTGGAAACAATCTCTTCGTTGATTGCCTCTCCAGTCGACGCCAGTATTTCGAGACATGGGACTTCTTCTGGCGCTAGGGTATTGATGACGGTTGGGGTGAGAAATGCGAAGCTTGCATTGAGTCGAGTGATACTCCCTGCGAGATCGTTGACCCGCTCCCATTCAGTAGGCACAACCACACATCCTCCGTTGACAAGAGGTGTAAAAATGTCGGCGATACTGGTGTCAAAAGTATAAGCGCTGAATTGGAAGCCCCTCGTCTGAGGGCCCAGGCCGAGAGCACGGCCTTGAGCMAGGGTGCTTGTGCAGATTGCTCGGTGCGCGATCCGTACCCCTTTCGAGGCTCCGGTAGATCCCTACAGTGWGGTTCAGTGACAGGCTACTAGTTGGCATCCTGAGAGTGGCTTAACTTACCGATGTGTTCATAATGTAGGCTATCGCGTTGGGATCCACCGGCCAATCGTGAGATACATCCGATGTGCTCAGAATATCGATCATGTCTTGTGGTACCAAGGCAATTCGCACACCCAAGTCTTTCGTGCAAAATGGAACGAGCTCTCTGTCACAAAGCACACGCTCTGCACGCACAGCCTCAAGAATGCCTTGAACTCTGGAAGTGGGATACGTGATGGAGCTTTCCTGGTTTGGGATTGGTATTGAGGTGAAGGCGCCGCCGCACTTGAGAACAGCCAGCATCGTACAGATTGCCATCGCACTCTTGAAGAGACAAAGCGGTACGACATCGCCAGGCTTAATGTCGAGTTGCTGCTGCAACCGGCATGCCAGAATAGAGCTTTTGGTTTCGAGCTCTTCATAGGTCCAGGTAGAATGGTGATCCACCAGAGCTGGGTCGTTGGGCCGCTTCATCGCTTGATTTGCGACGAGAGCATGTAACGTGGTTGCCTGGGAAGGGGGAAGTATGGCATTCCATGTCCAGAGATTTTCAAGTTGCACGTTGGGTAAATGTGGTAGACTGGATAATGTGGTGTCTGCAATTTCCTGAACAGCGACTAGGTGTAGTTGTTGGATGAGACCCTGTAGAGTTTGGAGCATACGTTGCATCGCAACAATGGAGACGAGTCCCGAATCAAACAGTGCCTGAATTTCCACATGGCTCTCGTGCACATAGCACTCCAAGGTTACGGGGAGGGTGTGAAAGTCGGGACGCCGCGAGCTATCATCTGTGAGCGGTATTCCCAGTGACTTGCAGGAGCTAGAGCGGTCTTGTTGCGGCTGAACAACCAAAAGAGTACCTAGGTCGCCAAGGTCCGATGTTGGGCAAATTCTGCGCACGTTCTGCAATCCGAATTGTTCAAAAGGGGTCATGCGCGCAGCCTGCTCTTGTACGGCACCCAGAAAGGCGAGCGCTCCCTGGTCGGGGTCAACTCGAATCCGAACCGGAACTGTGGCTAGTGTCGAGCCCGGAAGTTGATCAATGTCTGGGAGAGATGCGGTACGGCCGGTTGTGGTGGCGCCGAAGACGACATCGTCGCTCTGACAGTAGCAAGACAGCACCATGGCCCACGCAACCCGGACAACCGTGGCCACGGTGATGCCTGACAGGGCGCTTCCCATGGCCAAGGCAGCAGTTTCATCAGCGATTGCATCCACTGTAACTTCACGTCGACTGCGAGTACGCGGAAACTGCGCCGACGGGCTCTGTTGGTGAAATTGAGCCTGCCAAAACTGTTCAGCAGCAGGATCGTGCGTCACTTGATTGCAGTACTCGGCGAAACGACAAAATGAAGGAAGAATGGGCTTTACGTTACTCCCATCGTGATAGACTTGCTCGACCAAGGAGAGAATCATGCGTTCGCTCCAGGCTTCACGGTCAATTAGTCCAGGTATTCTGTGTATGTATGTGGAGGTGACTTACCGTCGTAGATTGCGTGATGCGCAGTCCACATGAAAATGCGTTCGTTTTCGACAACGGCGAATTCTACCAAGGCTGTTCCAGCACCCATCGATGGCCGGTCCACCGCTGAAGAGTCKAACATAAGGAGCTTGAACGATTCACGGACAGTAGCAAAGTACGACTGTCCGTCAGGCGTTTGGAACACGCGTCCCCGAAGGGTAGGCACCGTCTCGTAGATGCGACGCCAAGCCTCTTGATACCGATGGATGTCGACTGAGTCGGGAATTTTCATGCTCAACCGTCGAACATATGCACTGGGAGTACGCGTGGAAAGAGCAATCGTTGCGACCTGGAAGGGCGTGGCAGGTACAATGTCTTCTATAGACTCTACATCAACATCGCACAGTTTGGAAGCGTATTGTCGCAATTCGGACATGTTTGTGCCATCGTCTCGGACGTCGAGGGAGTCATGTCGGTCCACAACTTGTGTCAGGCACGCCATGGCGCCCAGTGTCGGATGGAGAAAGATGTTCTCGGCGGAGAGGCGTAATCCATCCTTACGGGCCGCTGCGACGAGGCGTATGGCAGCAACAGAATCTCCACCGACGGCGAAGAAATTGCTACAACGCTGAATCGATGCAAGAGGGATCCCGAGCACGGAAGCCCACAGCGACGCCAGCGGAATCTCATCGGGGTCGCAAGGCTCACTAGCGTGTGGAGCAGGGCTATCGAGGGTAGCGAGTGGCATCAGTTCCCTGAGGGATGTATCACCGAGTCTTTGCAATGCAGCACGATCAGTCTTGCCCGAAGGCAGCAAGGGCATGGTCAGTAGCGGAATGTACAGCACGGGAATCATGTAGTGAGGCAAATGCAAGCCGATGTTGCTGCGAAGCGTACGCAACTCATCTCGCAGCGGGCTCAGTGAGCCGAGCACAATGTCTTCGGCATGCTCCAGGTGGCGTGCATCGAAAGCAATGAAGGCGGCGAGTCGTGGGGCCTGCTGCTGATGATGGTCACCGATGAGAACCAGAACGGCGACGTGCACCGGGCGACCAAGATGGGTGCGGATCTGGAACTCAATCTCGCTTGGGTCGAGCCGCCTGCCGTGCAACTTGAGGAATCGCGCCTTGCGGCCAATGTACTCCATGTTACCGTGGGAGTCACAGTAGCGCACGAGGTCTCCCGTCAGATAGGCCCGGGCGTGTGGTCGCAGGCTACCAGGAGGCGGGTGAATGAACTTGCAGCTGGTCTCGGCGACATTGTCCAGATAGCGGCGCGCCATGATATGGCCCTCCACCAGCAGCTCTCCCACCACACCCACATCGCTGAGCTGGCTCGGGTCGTCTGGCTGTACGATCCACGAGCAGGCGCCGCTCGTCTTTCCAATCCACGCCGCGCGCTGGCCCGGCTGCAGCACCGCGGGAGCACACGTCGAGGCCTCGGTGGAGCCGTAGCCATTGACAAGATGCACGCATGGCGCCCAGGTGTCGACGAGATCTTGCGTGGGGCCTTCAGCGACGATGGTCAGCGCTTGGAGGTCGGGCACGTCCGCGGGTCGAAGTGTCACAATTAGAGCGGGCGGGAGGGCGGCAAACGAGATTCGGCGCTTACGAATCACGGCGCCTACGTCATCCAGACACCGCGACTTCTGCTCGAAGCACACGCAGCCGCCGCGCATGAGCGTCGACCACACATCGTACACGCTGACATCAAAGGCGAAGTCGGAGAACTGGAGGATACGGGATCCCGGCGCGATGCGCTGCTCTGGGGCGTGACAGGCGGCCGACGTGCAGATTGCGACATGGTCCAGAACCACGCCCTTGGGAATGCCAGTGCTGCCGCTGGTGAAGAGGACAAACGCCGCCTCGTTGGGCTCGGCGTCCACACTGCACTCACCATGGCACCCCTCGATATTCTCGACATTCTGGACGCTCAGGAGCTCGCTGCATTCGGGTATCACGATGGTCCTCATGTCCGGCAATCGGACCCCAAGCGCTGGTAATAGTTCCGGTGTCACCAGCCCAACTTGTGCTCCAGTCGCCGTCCATATTGCTTCACAACGCGCCGCTGGTTGAGAAACATCGAGCGGTACCACCACTGCCCCGAGTTGCAGTACCGCCGCCATCGCGACAGCGGAGCGGGCTTCCTTGGCAAGACTGCATAGTACCATTGACCCCTTCGTGATGCGCTGCGCTCGAAGCCTATCCGCTAGACGGGCCGCAGCTAAAACAAACTCCCGGAACGTCAACGCAGTATCTCCATCTTCTACGGCGCGCGCATGCGGCGTGTCTTCAGCCTGGCGTGCTACGGCCTCAAAAATTGTGTCCAGCACACGTGGCGGCGGGTCGCTATTCCAGTCTCGTATTCGTTGGTCCATTCTCAAGACGGATAGATACGTATCACAATCGAGCAAAGAGAGTTATTGCAACGCCTGGTAGGKCTCAAGACAGAACAATGGATAGAGAGCCACAAGACGCGCCGGATTGCAACGTTCGGAGTTACGAGAACTACAGAGGCTGATAGTGATACAGAATCAAAGGCGCACTCAAGAATAGCCACTCGGGAAGACGACCACCTGTCTGGGATACGAAGTAAACCAAAAGCTCTCGATCCACAGGCACTCGATTAACTTACCATCCATTGTTTTATAATCCTTGTGTTCCAGGCGAAAAGGTTCAGACAGCGCTTCTGAGCCCTTCGACAACCACGGTGAACGCACTAGTCATAGCTCAGGGATGTCGGAATCTTTCCCTCTGCAGATTCTACATGAGTTACCACACCATACAGAGTGTGACTTGCACACAGGGAGATCTAGTAAGAATGCACAGCGACAGCAAATTTCTGATAGGCTGGTGAAGGATCTGTAGGCAAATCAGRGGCTCTCGATTGTCGGTACTACTGGCAGCACGTCTTGATCCACTCCTTTGGTGAACAAACCCCACTCCCCTATCCCTTGCAGAGTCTATATGTGTGTGGGATGACCTGAGGTCTACCTCGATATCAGGCCAGGTCTTTCTCGCCGTACGATAACAAGCGGTCTTCCTTACCGCCCCGAAGTTCGAACGCCAGCTGGGCCCGGTCGACCTTACTGAGCCCTAACTAGGCAAACCTAGGGTTCGAGAAGTCGACAAGGATCAAGGCAGAAATAAGTAACGCACGAGCCTTACCTTACCCGAGCCGAACCTACTTCTACAGGGTCGAATCTGCATGGGAATACCGTATTCCGGCCTCCCTCGGGCCCGAGTGCGTTCACCGTGGTTGTCGAGGGAGTCACAAGCCCTATCAACGCATTTTCGCCTAGAACAAGGACGGTAAACTGTAATCGAGTTTCTGCGATCGAGAGTTTCTGGTTCACTTCGCATCCTACACAGGTGTTTATCTTCGGGTTTCCTTCGAGTCTGTGGTTTACTTCGTATCCTAGACAGGTGGACTGCTTCAGGGTCAACATTCCCGCCTGCAGATTTGGAATCTGTACTGAGTCCAAGAAATGTTTACTGAAAAAAGAAATGTTTACTGAAAAATTAGAATGGCCCAGCTCTGGTCCAGCTCCTTGCTATCAAATCTCTCTGACTAGGAATTGACTTCAGAAAATACACAATTGTCACACGAGCTCAAAAGGATCGTTTGCTCCAAACGCTTCATGCTGTTTACAGTTTCCCCCCAACTCCAAAGGTTGAAGTCACGCATCCACCGCCAAGGTCGTACCATACGTAAGTCCCAGCTTGATTTGATTGTATTGCAAGCCTGACATGTGCTCATACCTTTCCACTGTGCCATCTTCCACAAACTCCGGGAGGGAACCGGCGTCAGARTCGCGATCTGGCTTCGCGAAGAACACTGCGGAGCGACGAGCTGGAGTTTGACACGAGCCGGAAGTATTGACCTTCAAGCCAACGGGCACAGTGACCTTGTGGTTGACGGACTTGAAGTAATCGTTGCTCCAGCGCTGCAAAATGTCGCCGGCATTCACCAGCATTTCGTAAGGAGAGTCGCGGGTAACCGGGAAGAAATGTCCGTAGTTTGACTGATCCTCAATCTCCAGGCCACCGACGCTGTCTTGAAATAGTAACGTCAAAGTCCCAAAATCCGTGTGTGGCGAGATGCGATTGCATTCCCCGCCATTCAGCAGAGAGGCTTCTGCGGGTGGATAGTAGTTTAGACGGCACTCGCTCGCACTCTGTCGACAGCGAGAATTGAAATCGACATCGATGTCCAGCAAAGCCTTGCATCCCAGCTGCAGAGCATCTAACAATTGTCGGTGCTGGTCCCGACACTCGCTGTAGAATCTCTCCATGTCTCTTTGGAAGCCTGGAAGATCTTCCTTTGGGAGCCACATGTTGTCGAATAAAGGATCATCTGGACTACCCATATCAAAAGCCTCCTAAAGCTTAGAGTTAGCTCGACAAGGTTATTGACCGCATGGGATGGGTACCGACGAACCTTGATATCTCGAATGGACTTCTGTCCTTCAAAGACGCCTTTCTCAAAGTCTGTCACGGTGGAGACGACTTCGCGGCCAACTTCGCTCCATCCCTTGCTCGGTCAGCGGAAGAAACTACTTGTTCATGTCTACTTGGACCTAMTCGATGCGGATTAAAGGCCAAAGGGTGCTTGATCTTGGCCTTGATGTCTACGGGCAAGGCGAAAAAAGCGTCGGTCTGCGATTTAGGTCAGCTCATCTGTTACCCGCATCCAATGGGAGATGAACGGTAGGACTTACATGTGCGAAGACGGCATCGACTACAGCATCCGGAATGGAGTGCTTTGCAAGCTTGCAGAATCCCGTCTTATGCAATGAATGTACCAGACTGATGGCGCATTGCAGTCTCTCCTCCTCAGTGCCGGTGGTGAAGTCCTGGARGTCGACTGTGGCTGGTTGGGGTCTTGAGACCCTTGAAGTGTATAGCATGGTGAGAAGCAGGAGCTGTGGGGAACGCAGTTGGACGGCTTTGAAATGCTTTGAGAGAAGGGAGTTTCGATGTCGATTGCTATACTTCGTGCTTCTCTTTTATCTCGTCCTTCTCCTTTAATTCCTTCATCTCCTTTAATTCCTCCATCTCCTTTAATTCCTCCATCTCCTTCGAGTTGTGCTATTCTTGTTGCAATGCCGAAGACCACGCGGATGGTAGGTGGTCCCGTACGGCCCGTACGGCTTCCATCTTTTATCCGGCGCCAAAGGGAACAAAGAGAGATAACATACAGCGTCTTGTCGCATCGGAGTGGTAGAACACTAGAAGGCGGCAGCTAATAAACCTGGTTCCTACCGAGTATTACTATTAGCGACACACGCTGATCGAGGATACTAGGATGGTAGCGTTCTACCACTCCGATGCGATAAGACGCTGTACTGTTCTGAGACAACAACTCGAAGACAGGCTGCGATGTTCCATGCTGAGGGAAATGAGGAATACCTGGACTTCTAGGCGGAATTCAGCAGAAGGCCCGGAGAACCTTCTACCCGATCTCGTGTCATCTGGCCGGATATTCCCGCCCGACGTTACGGTATGCCACCTCACGATCTGAAAATGCTTAGCAATAACATTAGTTAAGTGATGAGGTAATGTCGCTATATCCTCTTTAATTAGCTCTCTAACCCTTAACTTTACTAACTGCTTACGGTAAGGCGATATTATAATTCTAGCACGTAATCTACAGATAACTAAGGATTAGACGATATAGCCGCATCTTAGATGCAGAGTTTTTACCTATATACTAATTAGTGTTATCTACGTACTTTACCTTAATTTAGTAATAGCTTTATAATAGGTTATAAGCCCGGCGCTACTACGATCCTATCCTTACTAAGAAGTTATTAATATTAATAATATTAACCCTATACTTACTATTTTAATAGGGGAATTCTAGCGAGCTAAGAGAAGAGCTAGAATTAAATTATAATAGAGCTAATTAAGATAGCTAAGGAGAATTAGGTACTTAGGAAGGGTACTAACTTCTTAGGCTAGAAGGTAATACTTAGAGGAGTACTAGCAAAAGAGGATATACTTAGATATATCTTCTATAATCTTCCCTAGGAGCTACTATAACTAGAACCCTAGAGGATTAACTACCCTAATATAGCTAATTATCTACTAGTATTAAAGAAGTTTAAGAAGAAGGATATAGTTACCTATAGTATTATTTATAGCCGGCTAGATAAAAAGCTTAGGCCTAATTTCGGAAGCACTAAGAAAATAGTATAGGAGCTATTTAAAACAATCCTTACTATATATTAATTAGTTGTTACTATAGATATCTATAATACTCTTAGGCAGATTAGAAGTATTAAACTAACGGGTAATAACACTCTAAAGTACTATAAAGACTTCTAAAAGTAGATATATTAGTATAAGATAGCTACTAAGTAATATATTAGAGCTAACCGTATTCCTAATATATAAGAGGGACTTATATTCCTACCTCTTATTATAAATATACTATTTATTATAGGTCTAAACTATATTAAGTAGCTTAAAAGCTAGCGATATACTAATAAACCCTAGCTAGTAATATTAAAGGATATAATTACCTCTTTTAGACGTAAGAAACCTCTAGTATTAAGCTACTAGCCTAATCCTTCCTAGAAACGAGTTATAGGAGGAGTAATAGCAGATATTAAAGATAATAATAAGAAATGCACTTAGTACAAATATAACTATACTAATACAAAATATTATAAGTAACACCCTAATAGGGCACTATCGTCCTAGAAAGCTAGAAAGCCTAATAATAATAAGAAGAAGTAGTCCTAGAAGAAAAAATAGTAGAGGAGAGCTAATACTATAGTAGCTTAAGACTTATCTAGGTCCCTATTAGACTTAGATTCTAATAGCTTAATAAGCTATAGTATCGTAATAGCTGCATCTTTAATAAAGCCTATTAATAGCTATATTAATATATAGGACTCTAGGATAGTATATTACTTCTTTAATAATAAAGTATAGTTTAAAGATCTCTACGAGAAAAAGAAACTAGTAGAGTTCTTCTAAGCTATTAGGAAGAATAGAGTTACGCATTTAGGAATAGTAACTCTCTAGCTAAAAGGCCCTAAAGGTCTTAAAACATAGCTAGAACTAAAAGGAGCTTTATACTCCTTAGGCTCTAATATAAACCTTATCTCTATAAAGCGGATCCTAGAGAAGTTTAGCATTATATATAACGCTAGGACTAGAACTATTCTAGATAAGGATAATAAGCCTATTAGGACGCTTTAAAAGCTCTATAGAGTGCTTATTCTAAAAGATATAAAGATCCTTATCCTAAAGGGCTAATAGCCCCCCCTATTTAGAAAGACTGTAGTTAGAAAAACTATAGTAGTAGCTTTTATAAAGCTAAAGGCTAATATAAAGCGTTAGAATTAGAGATTTAGCTATATTAGAGCCTTAATCCTTAACGCTATAAAGCTTAAGGCAACTAGACTAAAGAGTATTAATATAGACATAATAAGTTACTATAAAATATATAAGCTCTTAAGATCCTAGCGAGTTATATTAAGGCATCTAAGACCTATAGCGGCTAGAGCACTTAATAAAGTTTATATAGATATAGTAGGACTAATTAGCCTACTAGACATCTATAGGAATAGGTATTTCCTACTATATATAGACGCTAAGACCCGCTATAGATAGGTGTTTCTTCTTAGACTAAAGAGTAATAGCCCTAAGATTACTAGGATCTTTATCTAGAGAGTGCAAAATATATATAGAAAGATCCCTAAGCTTATATTTATCGATAGGGGTAGTGAATTTATTAATAACCTTACTACTAAGATAGCTAAGGCTACTAGACTTAGGTAGGATATATTAGTACTATATATACCTAAATAGAATAGTATTACTAAATCCTCTAATAAGGTTGTCCTTACTAAAGGCAGGGTAATAGTTATTAATACTAGAGCCCCCTAGGATATATAGTGCTATATACTAAAATACTTAGTATATATTATAAACCGGCTTATAAATCTTAGTACTAAAAACATCCCTATTCTTTACCTTTAGTAAGATCTTAATATCTCTTAGGAAACCTCCCTAGATCTATCTTATATAAGAAGATTTAGCTATAAAGCCTATATCTATAATAATAACCGCTAGATCTTAGTAAAGTTTGCCTTAAGGGCTAAAATCTTTTAGTTTATAGGATTTTAAGAGTATTTATTTATAAACTACCTCCTCTAGCGCCCTATACTTAACTATAAGGGAGTATAGAAGCACTAGGTTATTTTTATACCGCATATAACTTTTAATAAGGACTAGGTATATATAGATATAGTTAGAAGTTATTATACCCCTAAGTCCTAAGGGGAGCCTTTCTATATAAGCCCTATAGGTTTTATAACTCTACCTACTAGGCTAGAAGCCTATATAGTGCCCGTTACTAAGCTAGAAGCTTAGGCAACTAACCCTAAGCTAGAAGCTTAAGTAGTATTTAAGCTAGAAGCTTATACCCCGGCTACTAGGTAAGAAGCCTAGGTATAGCCTATCCCTAAGTATTACCCTTAGGCAATTATCCTAGAAACTAAGTATTAATCTTAGAATCTATCCTTAGTAATATCCTAGGAATAAGAAGCTCCTTAAGAATAATAGCCTACTAAGCTATCTCCTATAGAAATCTAGGGGAGATTATAGTCCTAGAGCTCTTCTAGTAGTAGCCCTAAGGATTAGAGGGAGTTCCTCTAAGGCTCTCCCTAAAATAGTACCTCTACTAAGGAAGATATTAATATACTTATAGAGCTATTTATACTACCTTAAATAACTAGTAAAAGAAAGAGGGACCTATTACCCCCTATAGCCTCTTAAATACGATTAGGAAGGTCTATAATTAGGTATAACTATAAAAAGCTATATACTAGGGGAGTAGTTATTACTAAGCCCTAGTCTATATTAGAGGTATTATAATACCTAGAGTAGAGAAAGGCAATATCTAAGGAAGTTAAATCCCTAGAATCTATTAGTATAATCGAGTAGAAAAGGATTAGTAACCTACCTAAGGAAAGAATTCCCCTTAAAGCAAAATAGGTATATAAGCTAAAGAAGCTTGCTAACGGTACTATTAAGAAGTATAAAGCTAGATAGACTACTAAAGAATACTTCTAGAAGATAGGAGTTAATTATATTTAAACCTTTATACTAATATAAGGGTAAAGATGTAGTAATGTATTAGATACCCGTAATTACTCGATTAGAGATAAGACTAATTCTTGTAGGTTAAATGTGCGCTGTGCGTAGGAGTTATGCATACGCTAAGCCTACGCTAAGCAGTCGGGTTATATTATACTCCCTTCTCTAAGGTTGGTTAATCTAGCTACCTCTATTAATCCTGTTATTATAAGGGCTCTTACACGGCCCTTATAATTACCTCCTTCCCCTTATACGAACTAGCCTTAGTTCGGGGGCTTAGGAAATAGAGGCGCGCGCGCGTCGTATACGTCGCGCTCGGGGTCCGTAGACTCTATATAGTAAAGTGCCTATTTTCTAAGTAACCTTCGGGCTATTTATATAAAAGCCGGCTAGTTAAACTAGCTATATAGGAAGTAGCCGCTTTCGGAACTTTATCCTCCTTCTAGTAGGCTAAATACCGTACCTAAAAGGGCGAGGGTTTAATTCCCTTAACGACCGCTGCTCGATAAGAGGGTTAATAAGTCCCCTACTACGCGGCGTATACGTTACCGCTACTATCCGTAAGGGGCTTATATCTATAGATCTCTAAGTAGGTTATTTACTAAGTAACCTACCCTAGTAACTATCCCTTATTAATATTCTTCCTATCTTATAGATTTCTCTTCTATATATCTACTCTTTATTATACCGCTACGTACTCCCCGTAAGCGTCGCGTACCCGACCCGCCGGCGACTCCCGCTTAAGCGTCGGCGAGTAAGCGCCGCGCCGTCGAGGTGCCTACGGCCTATCGCCGCT